TTTGAGTAAAAGTTTATATCACTAGCTCACATTGACAGAGTTAATAGGGTCTTAAAGTCTACGTCCTAATAATAAGCCAGATTCCGGAAATCGTTAATTACTCGTTGCTTTCTCCTGAATGACTAAAACTCCCCAGGTCTAAAAATAATTGGACGGCGTAGTAAAGATTAACCACAAGTGACAATAACCTACCAAGTAAATGGAAAATCTGCCCAAAAGTCTGAGTGTGGCTCACATATTATCCACCTAAAACGTTGAAAATAATTCAAGTCCTGAAAATGTATGTAAATAAATCAATGATAGTATCCCACTAGCCGTTAATTCGTAGAAAATCTTTGGTGATAATTTGCTTCGGATGATAGACAGTGGTCTCTGCGCTTTTTCTTACCATTACGGCACTCTGTAAGTCAATGCTGCGAGTGAAAAAGATTTTACTATATCCTTGGTTTTAACATTTCTGCTTTGACATCACGTCCTTTGAGGTTGTTTGTTTAGTCTGAGCTCAATGTTAGAACATGCGATCAAAAATTGTCTTCATTCGTGTTATGCAGTCAAAGTGCTTGAAATTTGTCTTCTTATAAAGTAATCATAAATTTATCATAACTTCTGTCTAAATTTGGATCAATAGCATCACAGAAGTTGGGCCCCTAGTTAATGCAAACGTTAAGGAGGAAATTTTAATTTGCAAAAATCTCTTCGATTTAACTTTGAGTAAAACAGACTTTTCACTCGTGAATCTGGTTCAAGCTTTTTAAAAGAAATATTATCGGATGTGGAAGTTACTAAATATGAGTACACAGATCAGCGGATATGTTATAAACGTATAACAATCGTTATTGTATATGAAACGTGCGATGATACGAAAATACGTACGAGCAGTCTTGATTGCTATTCGGTCCTTCCTAACTGCCTAGCCCAGCCAGTTGAGTCCAGAACACAAATAACAGCCTCGGAAAATGAATCATTATTCACAAGCATACTGGGTTTATATACTAACCAAACAGACCCCATATACCAAAAAATAGAAAAATAATATTTGTACAATAATTGGCCAATGTGGCTATGGATAGGGGGAAAGTAATCAATAATAATAGTTCAAAGGTCAAAATAAGGTTACGGTAAGAGGAACACGAATACAATTAGGTCAGTTATTTAACAACTAAACAATAGGAATTAGGCATATTACCTTTGTCCATAATAGACCTCAGATTTACCATTCATGATTCACCAGGGGATATAACACCTCCCCTTTTTGAGAAATCCGGAGTTGATATCCGGATTTTAATTTTTTTTTTTCGAGCTCCTCCTCCCCCACGAAATAGTGTTGGATCCTCATATACCCAAGTTTCTATTAATGCGATTCTAGTTATAACATGTTTCTGGTTTTCCATAGGGAACCCGTTAAGATTGACTGGATGGTGAGGATCGACATTTGATGTGAGGTCAGAATTTGATTCTGCAGAAATGTAGTCATCAGACTTATTGCAAACATCAATGACAGGTTGTGGATCAGTATGATAAACAGCGTCCACCAAAACTGCGCTAGGTTCCAGATTTGATGCATGTAACAAAATTTCTGGACAAGCTTGGGAATCTTTATCACTAGATTCGGTAGACATTTCTATTGCAGAATGAGATTCGCTCGTTGAACCGCTTGATATGATCTCTGGTACTCTGTGGGCGATTGGTGCGACCATTTTATGGGCTTTTAACATAGCATCGTATTGATGAGAGCTGAAAGCGTCATTGTTAGGACCTGCTAATTCAGGGATAGTGGTGTTTGAATCCACTACCGGGCACGTTTCTGAAATGGATAGTGCTGGACAACCGGGCGTCTCTTGAGAGACTGCTGTTTCGTTTGAGTTGCGGCTGGTCGAGGAATCATGGGGGCTGCGATCATTTGCTAGCTCTGTGTGCAATTCAGAGATTAATACATCCACTTCTGACGCATATGTGAAGCATTGATGATCCAGAAACTGTGTACGTAGTTTGACCATGAACTCCAAATGTCGGTCAAAGAGCAACTGTAAGCGGTCAGAAGGGAGCGTCATTTTTCACTTTTGTCCCCGTCGCCAATTGTTATAAACGTATAACAATCGTTATTGTATATGAAACGTGCGATGATACGAAAATACGTACGAGCAGTCTTGATTGCTATTCGGTCCTTCCTAACTGCCTAGCCCAGCCAGTTGAGTCCAGAACACAAATAACAGCCTCGGAAAATGAATCATTATTCACAAGCATACTGGGTTTATATACTAACCAAACAGACCCCATATACCAAAAAATAGAAAAATAATATTTGTACAATAATTGGCCAATGTGGCTATGGATAGGGGGAAAGTAATCAATAATAATAGTTCAAAGGTCAAAATAAGGTTACGGTAAGAGGAACACGAATACAATTAGGTCAGTTATTTAACAACTAAACAATAGGAATTAGGCATATTACCTTTGTCCATAATAGACCTCAGATTTACCATTCATGATTCACCAGGGGATATAACAGGATAATTATATACGAAATAATTTATCCAACCATGGTGACAATATTGAAATAAGATTTGTCGTAGTGAGCACAAGACTTTTGGTGTAAAGAGTGAAGATTAAGTTAAGATGAAATTTGTGCATCTACTCAAGTGGATCTGATGTGAGAAATTTTTCTCTGATAATATACCGCTTGAATAATTACTTTTGATGGGATCAGATAATTTTAAAAATTATATGAGTTAAGCATGTCACAGCACATGTTGGATGAAGATAGGCAAACACAAAACATATTATTTTGTTGGCCAAGCTAATTGTTCGTCACATATTTAGATAAACCAACCGATTATGACAGCTGAGAATAGTTGTTGTTGTTCATATAAAAAGCGACGGATTTTCAGGGGCAGCGAAATGAACACTAGCCCCTAGCGAAATCATATGCCACTCGGGTCACTTAATATTGAGAATCTTACCAACACTCGTCAAGCTCAAGAAACAGACGCGCCTCAATCAATTGTACGTCATAGACAGGCACATTCAGCAGTAGTCGAACTCTATCCAAGGAACCTAATCTGACTAGTCCATTTCTGTTGTACTTTATGTTTTAGCTGTGAGTTCATAAAGGTTACCATAGTACCTAGATGCGACAAAAGGGTGCTCCACGTTGGGTATCCTTCACGACGTGTGATTTCGACATAAGAAGGGGGGTCATGCCATTGCCACCCTATTTAAGTGACCCCCCCAGACATTGAAACAAACCACCTGCGTTGGTGATCTACAGATCAGATGATGTAAAATGTAACTAAAATTTTAGGTCTTCATGGCTGGAACTATACTATATTTTCCGATCACTTTGTTATGTGAGCATAATATAGGAAAGGTCGACGATACAAACTACAATTAGCACTGTGAAATTCTCGTATCAACTTAGAAAGTAGATCGTGAAGACGGATTAAGTTTTGAATCTTTCAGAACGTGAGAAACTAGCCTTATAATTTGAATCGTAAACTGAGAAGCCTTACTTAAAAATCCATATACCGACATCATTGTCTTTTCGTAACTGGTAGGATATTTTCACATTGAAACATCAAAAGTTTTAGCAAGAGCATTGAATGACCAGACTGTTACATACTAGTGAAGCAAAATTACAAACAACTTCCGGGGCCTATTAATGGACCATTATTTTATATATTCTGTTACTGCATAACTACTCAGTGATTAGATATAATCCATATACATTCATCTTATTATAAGCTTCATTTCGACCTATAAACTATTATTATACGATTTACTGTTCCCAAATTATGTTCAGTTTATTGATTACTGTCTCCCACGATCACAGCCACATTCGGCTTTATCTTGTACAAATATTATTTTCTATTTTATGGTGTGATGCGCGATCTAATCATCTGCTATATAAACCGGGTATGCGCGAAACAAATGATTCGCATAGCAGAAGCTGTAACTGGTGTTCTGGGCTCAATTGGGAGGGTTAGGCGGACAAAGGACGCTAGACTGCTCATACCGGTCGAACGTCATTAATTTAGAACAGTGCTAAGATTGGATAAGCCGTATTTCGATTGGTGGATAATTTACGTGATAAAAAGCCGGGAATAAAATCGCAACAAAGATATTCATAACATAAACAAAGTGAACTGATTCGGCGGACAAAGGACCAATAAGGACACTAGACTACTCATACCGTCATTAATTTGGAACAGTGGAGCACGGTTTTTAGACCACGGCTCATCGCTGTGTGGTTTCATTAATAGCATAAACGTTAAAAGCATTAACCAAGTTGGATACGCATATGTTCATCACAGTGTACACACAGTTAATGAGATACGGACCTGGAAACTGTGTTTAGGCAAGAAAGCCTTGGATAAGATGTAACTTGAAAATCCTCAAAAAATTACAATGAATAGCTACCACTACAATTTCCAGATTCTGAAGCATACCAAACATAATGATACTTCAGAAGTCAGACTTCGTTGCTATCTTACAGCAGATTAAGAGGTGGTCTAATTCAGATGTATTAAAGACTAGGAAGCAACTTCAGCACTAATGTCCCTGAATTTTTATTTAAGTATGTCGGGACAGTTCAAAGGACAGAGCAAGCGAAATGAAGAGCCAAAGATGAATAAGACTTTCCCCACCAAGTAATCAACTCTTGGAACAAACCAGTGGAAGACCTAGTGTCTACACCTTCGATCAAGTCACTTGAAAGACACAGGATAACCGCATAAGCTTACTCGCAAGGGACCAACATAGCATTCAGCATTTACACAAATCTGAATATATATATGAATGACAGTCTAACACTACATGGTGTATGTTTCAATTTGCTTACAGAAAAGCCACTGATAATCTATATCACAATTAGATGATTAAATAACTAATTTTATCCTTAAGACTGGAATATAATTATGTCTGTTAATTAAAACGTACTTTAGTACTTCGCACAATTTGACACTTCTCGTAGTTATGGTTACGGAGGCAGAAGATTTCAAAAGATGTACAGTAACATCGAGCTGAAGAAACCAATTTTCGGTAGGGTAAATCATTACATATACATTGATATTCACACACAAAATTCAAATGCTACCCACTTTCGCCTGCCATGAACGTGTTGAAAGATGAATTTCTTTTAACAACCGGTTTGTTTTTTCATGGAGGTACCTCTTTATATTAATAGACATGTCAGTATGGTGAATTTAGGCTGACATGAGGCAGACGGCGAGATATAACCGTTATTAAAATTGTGATTACACAGAAGTTAAGCAATATCACTCCTGGCTTCCTTTTCTTATCCTTGGTCTAAGTTATATAACTTAGACCAAGAGAGTATTATATTACTCCCTTGTGTATGATATATTATTTTTGTCACTTAAGTGTGTGTTTGAAAGCAAGAGGTGGGACTTGCAGGGAGAGAACTAGCCACAAAGCTGTGTCTGATTTCATTTCGTGTAAATATGATGTGGTGAGGATACGACTGGTATTCTAGTTTAACAACCAGCGACCAGTAATACCTTCTATATTCGAAACCTTCCCGACCAAAGGAAATCAGAATTCAGATGAGAAGAGGTAGGAAAGATATATTTGATACGTTATCAATATATTGAGAGGCGTTTGTTCTTAGCTAGCTTTTTTTTGAGCTTTTTTTGAAATAAATATATATTTAAAAAATTATTTTCTATAGTAAATAATGAAAAGGGAATTCGAGATTAAGTTTGCGTCCTACGTGCAATGGTCGTTAAGATTTTCTGGAAATCTTACTCTTCTTCCAGAACGCGTTGTTTTAGGTTTATTTTCTGATGTTGACGAAGTGTCAAGGTGTGTGTCGGCTGTCGTATGGGGTACTACAAGTGTGGGAGCCGTATCGTACGATTGTACCGAAGGAAATTCGACGTAGCTAGGGCTTCCTTCTAAGTATGCTGCTTTTAAGATATCGATACTGATGCTATCGTTCGTGCCGTTCTTATCTACTACATAGTACTTAAGTTCACGTTGAATAACTTTGAAGAGTTATTCGTAAGCTGATTTGAGAGGTCGTCGATGTGAGTCTCGACGAAGGAAGACGTGTGTACTACGTCGTAATTCAGGTTGAACGAAAACATCAGTTGATTGAGGTTGAGTGTGAGCAGGTTTAACTGAACGCATAGAGTTTGTAAGCCTACTCGTGTAAGAGTTTAGATCCATGTTCAATGAAGAGGCTGAAGGATCCATAAATTCCCCTGGGAGTTGGAGTGTCGTTTCATAATCGAGTTGAGATGCAGTGTATCCAATGTCAGCTTTCACTGCATTGCGGATACCTAGCAAGACGAGTGGAAGAGCGTCTGTCCACTGTGAAACGTTTGTAGCTGATGATGAAGCTTTAAGTTGTCGATGAAAACGTTCTACCGACCCGTTTGCTTGTGTGTGGTAGGCGGTCGTTCGGAAGCGAGTGATTCCTAATAATGAGGTCAGACAATGGAAAAGTCCAGATTCGAACTGGCATCCGCGGTCTGTAGTGATGGTTGAAGGGCAGCCGAAATTAGCTACCCATCGTTCGACGAAAGCGCGAGCCACTGTTTTAGTAGTAATGTCCTTAATATGTACTGCTTCTGGCCATCGAATGAAATGGTCTACGCATGTTAAGAGATATGAGTATCCGTTGGAATCGGGTAAGGGTCCTACCAAATCCAGATGAACGTGGTCGAAACAAGCGTCAGGGGTTTTAAAAGAGCCTAAGGAACATTTGTTGTATCTTTTGACCTTAGATTTCTGGCAGCTTACACAGGAGCGTGCCCACTCCCTCACGTCTTTATTCATGCCAGGCCAGCAAAACCGTTCGTCTATAAGCTTGATTGTTGCTCGGACACCTGGATGAGAAAGATTGTGCAACGTATTGAAGACGTTGCGTCGATAATGTTTTGGTACGATTGGACGATCCCTACCCGTAGATGTGTCGCAAAGTAAGGTTTTCTTACCTGTTTCCATCTGCTTAATACGTAGTTTAAGAGTTGTCAAGGATAACTCATGCTGAAGATCAATGTCTTCTTTTTGAAGCTAAGCGAGTTTAAGAAGGTCGATTCCTTGGAAACTGTTCAAGGAACTTATTCGAGACAAGGCGTCTGCGACTACATTGTTTGCTCCAGAAATGTGTTGTATGTCTGAAGTAAACTGCGAAATGTAGTCGAGTTATCGAGACTCTCGCGGTGAGTACTTGTCTGAAGATGAACTAAAAGAGAAGGTAAGAGGTTTGTGATCGGTAAAAAGCGTGAATTCTCTTCCTTCGATAGAATGTTGGAAATGCCGTACAGCACAATACATAGCTAGGAGTTCCCTACCGAACGTGCTGTACCTAGATTCCGCGTCTAGCAACCGTCTCGAGAAAAATCCTGGAGGTTGCCATAAGTTGTTAACCCGTTGTTGTAAGACTCTTACGATTGCTGAGTCGGATGCGCCTACGGAGATACTAATGGGCGCTTGAGTGTCCTGATGCGCAAGCAGGGTTGCCTTAGCGATGTGTTCCTTAACTGTGAAGAGTGCTTTACGGGCTGTGTCGTCTAAACTAATTGATTTTGCATTTCCACGAAGCTGATCGGTTAACGGTTTCGTAAGAGATGCGCATTTAGGTATGAACCGTCTGTAGAAACTTACAAGGCCGTTGAAAGTTCGCGGTTGCTTGATCGTGGTCGGTTTTGGGTAATTCAGAATGGCCGCCACTTTGCTTCTAAGGGGTCGGATGCCTTGGACATCAATAGTATGTCCTAAGAAGTCTAAGGAGTTGGTTCCGATTTGGCATTTCTGAATGTTGACAGTAATGCCATGCCTTTGGAGTCGATCGAAAACAATGCCCAGATGCTGGAGATGTGATTCTCTGTCCGGACTTGCTATGAGGCAGTCATCAACATACGCATGTACGAAGTTGAGACCTTGGAAGACGTCGTCTATGAACCTTTGGAAGGTTTGAGCCGCATTTCTTAAACCAAAAGGCATGCGCAAGAATTCGTAAAGACCGAAAGGAGTGATAATGGCGGTTTTAGGAATGTCGTCGGTTGCCATCGGTGTTTGGTTATAAGCCTTAATTAAATCGATTTTCGAAAAGACAGTTGTACCTTTCAAGGTGGCTGTCAAATCGTGAATGTGAGGCAACGGGTAACGATCGGGAATGGTATTAGCATTCAGACGCCGATAATCACCAGCTGGACGCCAATCATTGCTGCCCATTTTAGGGACCATGTGCAGTGGAGATGACCATGGACTATTTGATGGTCGAATTATCCCTAAGTCTATCATATGGTCGAATTCATTTTTAGCCAACCTAAGCTTTTCGGGGGGCGAGTCGGCGGGCTTTCGAGAATACAGGTGGTCCTATAGTCGAGTTGTGATGTGTAACATTGCTGGTTACACAAGGCAATTTCGGTTGTGGTTGGTATATCCCTGAGTATTTGTCGAGTAATGATTGATATAAGGGGTCTATGGTGTGCTTAGTTGTGATTGGGGATAATCTGCAACCAGAAAAAAGGAGTTGCGCAAACGGATAACTTGGTGTTTCCGTCTATTAACTTTCGTGAGCGTGTGTCGATGAGTAGATTGTGGTATTGTAACAGGACTATACCAATGATTGGCATAGAGACATCTGCAACCACGAAAATCCAGTGAATGGGTTTGCGTAAACCCACATTAAGGTAAACGTACCTTTTACCGTAAGTAGCGATCGGCTTTCCGTTTGCCGCCTGTAAACTTAAAACAAACTCGCAAAGTCTGTCGTTGGGATTTGCTGGAAGAGCGCTAACTTCTGCGCCGGTGTCGACAAGGTAGCGAACTTTCGTGGTCGCATCAGTGACATATAACAGACGGCTGTGTTCGCCGGCTACGGTTGCCGTTAACGCGTGCCGGCTTGGAAGTTTCCCGCGTACTTTTTCGTGTCCGTGGATTTGGAGTTCGGATAATTGCAGGGTCTCCTGCAATTTCTGAAGGATTTACCATACTGGTTATGATACCAGCACCAGTCGGGATTTTCTGTCTCTCGTGGTCGAGAGCCAGATCGCTTACGTGAGATACTTCTACGCGGGGTTTTTGATCAACTACGGTCATTACGAAATCGCAGATATCGTGTTAGTGTGTGACACAGTCCGGCTATGTCAGTCGGGGTCGATTCAGGTTTTTCCTTGATGGAAAAAACCTCGGCGCTAGTCGATTTGGTAATTTCTAAAATTCGATCAGCAGATGCAGCTAGTTCGTCTACGGCGTTGTTTTGGAACGAGACGAGAACTGCCTGCACCTGTTTCGGGAGTTTAGATAAGAAAAGCTGTTTCAATAGGCCATCGCGAAGGTTATTTGACCTATTACTTCTCTCAACCTTAACAACATGTCCGTCACGGAACCATGTTGTAGGTCGATATTATTGAGGAGTTGGTCTAACCGTTGTCGGTCGGTTAGATCTCCACGTCTCAGAATCGAACGTTTCAACGTTTCGTAAGGTTCCGAAACATCACTAGTAAACATACTAGGTGTTACGTACCTGTTGAATTCGCGCGGTAACGCCTTAACTACCGCGAGGAATCGTGTGCGCGAGTCCGTGATTCCGTGCCCGCAAGAATCAGCTTCTGCGTAGCAGAACCAGGACTCGATATTGTCAGGCCAAAATGGCGTTAACTGAATCGAAGTTGGGGGAATAGATTTTAGCTTAAAAACCTTAGGTGACTGTTCCATCATAGTAATATAAAGAACGTAAAACATTTAATCAGAATATATCCGGAAAAACTCGAAAAAAAGGTATATCACAATATATAAAAATCAAATAAAGAATAACAATGAATAATAATATTCCAAAAAGGAACAGACTCACAGTTTATTGGCTTGGTGTACCAGATCACGTAAGGCTCACCACTGAGGATACGACTGGTATTCTAGTTTAACAACCAGCGACCAGTAATACCTTCTATATTCGAAACCTTCCCGACCAAAAGAAATCAGAAGTCAGATGAGAAGAGGTAGGAAAGATATATTTGATACGTTATCAATATATCGAGAGGCGTTCGTTCTTAGCTAGCTATTGAAACGTAGGAGCTGTGTCTCACGCCGAGTCGAAACGTGATCTGGTACGGATGCATGACCGAAAGCCTTCAGTTAAACAAGTCCACTTAAACAACGTGGTCAGCATCCAATGTCGAACACTAAGAAAGCTATTGATTTTGGGGAATTATTTACAGCTACAGTGGAAACGCTGTAACTAGTCAAAATTACAATGCATTGAAAAAACGTTTTTCAATCGTTGACCCTAAGATAAACTCTTTGGTTTTCTGTATACTATGCTAATCACGGATATTTTCGGCTCTATTTTTATAAGCTCATTTCATATGTTTAATACTAATGTTTTTCCTGTGTTGTGAGGACATAACACCACTAGACTACTATTTCTGACTGAATCAATGCATAATATTTCAGATGATGAAGGTGTTTACACTTGCATTCCTAAATTATGGGACCAAGTATACTTGATGAGACAGGTATACAGTGCTATTAAGCATGTCTCGTTTCCCATGTAAAGGTGCATCATTTTAAATGTTGTCTAAAGTGGGAAATTGTATGGTGATTTAGTTGAATGCCGTAACAGTGTCCGACTAATTGGTATACAAATTTTAAGCTCATACTACATACAGCTATGTGTTTGTCTTCAGGTCTACTAGTACGATGATAACACTAGAAATATAACAGACAAATATTTCTTTAATTCCCTGAAAAGGTCAAAGTAAAGACTGCCAACCTGTCGCTTGCCATGAATTTTTTGTACCTTTTCATTCAGTAAAGATAATCATTGAATAACCATCTTATTATCCCTATACAAGATTATGGTGTTGGTTCATCGCAAAGATAACATGTTTATCAGTCAAACGGCATGAATTTTCATACAGTCTATTTTACTTTATCTTCGACAAAGAATATGTTAATCTTACCCTCGAGCAGATAAGGATGCATAGATCTCAGAACAGCATTTGGAATAATGTGAGTTCATTGAAGAATTTCATTTAAAAAGCCCTACAAGTACGGAATAGGGGAATATTAATGAAATATATATCTGAACGATTTGGTGGTAAATATTCAAATTCAATGTCTTTAAATTCGGTGTCCATAGTTTAGCGTGGAAAATCTTTGCTTGTTCATTTGGTATTGTTTGAGCACCTTATCAACTGACAGATATTGTTTTTAATTACTTATATGATCATAAAACCAAATTATCAATTTTGAAATCTCCCGTATTATTCTGAATATTCCTCAAAACAACTGGTAAATTATCTGCTTCGGAGAAAAAGCTAAGAGCTAGATTGGTAAACTCACCAAATTGACATAGCACGATAAATTTTAGAGCAGTGAAAATGGGATTTGGTGGACAGCTTCCAGGTCCCAGTATGGGGTTCATAAACGACACACATCCATGACCCAACAAGCAGTAATCGAACCTAGAACATTCGGTCTCGACTATATATATATATATATATATTAGTGTTTATCATATTAAAGTGAAATGACTAACTGTTCAAAACAATAGGAATGATTAGAAGTTCATAATTCATTTAGTGTTTTTTTTGAATTTTCTACAATGAATAATATAGAATAATCATACCAGTAGAGTTTATAATTACTTTAATGTATGTTTAAGAAGTAACAAATGGATTTTAAATAAAAGCAAAACTTGAAGTGACAAATTATTTTGGTGTATTCGAAGAGAAAGATATCATACAGGTAGGTTTGTTGATTAACTAACATGGAAAGTACTAAACTTTGGTGACATTTGTATGCACTTTATTTCACACCATTTACATAGATAATTTTGTTAAACTTTTAACAGTCATTACATCTGAAGTATGACTACTAATATTTTTGTATGAAATCTTGTTGAATTAAGATTTTTGAATGTAAGCTATATCTATTAATTATTAAGAGGAATAAATATATAAAGGAAAATGAACTTTTCCCAGATAAAGTATAAAAAATGCAGGTTATGATATACAGTTCATATGTGTTTGCCTGAAGTACATGTAAATAGACTCATGTTTCTGCGTGAAATGAATTTCACATATTTAATTAATTAGTTATGCATAATTTAAAGAAAAATTTACAGAATATGATGAAACAATTATTAGTGATATGAAATTCGATACCATGTATACCTCTGTAATGAATCATGTTGTTTATGACTAAACGACTGATAGACAGATAAATAGGTAGATCCTTTCACATTAACAATCACATAATTCTCACATTTCGTAAACTCCTTTTATTAATTCAAATCTATGAAGTTGAGTCTCAGATTACAAGTCATTAATTTTTGACTAAAAGAATTCTTTATAAACTTATAATTAATTGAATATATACGGTATTGTAGAGCTTTGAAGATGAACTTATTTAAAAGGATTCTTTCGATGAATTGATTATTTTAAAATTAATGTACACAAAACTATGATTTGCAGTATTTCTTATATATAACTGATATAAATAAAATGTTAGTCCAGGGAATTTTTATTTTAGGAATGTGGCACAGTGTCTTCGCATGAAAATGTTTCACAGTATCATAGGCATTTGTCAAGAGAAATTTCTACTGATAGTATTGAAAAATATAACTTAAATGAAAATTCAAGTGATTTACAAACTCTTAGTGAAAATTGTTCAAGTTATCCTGTTTCAAATTATAACAGTTCACGTCCAGGAGCGTTCTTTCCTTGGCCACCAAATATCACAGGTAAGTAATGATTAAAACTTATTTTCTAAATAATATGTAACTGATCATTGATTCACTAAAAGATAACTTCTTATGAAATAAACTGTAAATTATACTGAAATATTAATGTGTGATACCATGACCCTACAAACAAAATAGATTTATTAAAAAGTAAAATTTGTCCCTTCAACACTATGAAATGTTTAAAATAGTAATGTGAACATTACCAACTGATATTATTTTGGAATTGTTTTACCACCGAGTTTATGAAGATTAAAAGTTTAAATTCAAAATGTTAATGTTATTAAGATAAAATGAATTCAACTTCCTTGAATGTTTCAAAAAAAACTACCAGACATATAAATGTTTGGAAGAGTAACAACTAATTTTAACATTACAAAGTATAATGTTTCGTGTCTACACACAAAGAATAAATTTTCAAGTTATTAAACTACTTATATTAGATCATAATTAGTAATCGATAACATCAAGCTATAATTTGTTATACTCGGTGTTGTCAATATTCAGATACATTAATTTTTGAGATGTCAACAGAAATACAACGAAAAAATCTAGTAACTTCAACTGAATTCTCAATAAAGACATTAAATAGGAATAATAAATATTTTTAAAATCTCAGCGAATGAATTTGTAGTAAATCCAACGTTTCGCCTGGCAATCTGGTCCAAGCTTTTTCAAGAAATTATAATCAAACATCAAAATTATCGAATATAAATAGGTACATAGTTCTCCGGGTTCATTGTACACTGAATAGGTCATCCAATCAACGTTAACAAAGTCTAAACTAGGTATATGTATTAGTGTGTAAGAGATGTGTGATGTGAAATGATAAGTGTTCATATAATATATTGTATAGAACTAATTATATATATATATATATATATATATATATATATATATATATATATATATATATGAAGGCTTGTTCAAGAGATAATTAACATAAGTTTCCATCCAGAAACTATGATTAAGAGAAACGCTTAAATTTTTCAAAGAGGAAAATCAACTTTAAAAATAACTGATAACTAAACTGCCGACAACTGATAATTATTGGCATTAATTAAGCCAAGTAGATTTTTGAAAATGTTTCAACACTATCGATTTAAGCTAGCAACGAGTTTAGAATAATATAACAAATATAAGTAAAACCAAAAAGCTATTACTACCGAACTTATTGTTTTCAAAATTAAACTGTTTCGTATTTAATTTTCTGTAAGAACACTTTCTGATGGTCAGAAGATATTAACATGAAGATAAATTTTAAAAATAAGTATTTAAACATACATTGTAATCAAAATGTTACATAATCATGATAAAACCTATTTAATTAATTGAATGAATGGGATTAGTTGATAGAAGTTAATTCGTTAGAATTTATTCTTATATGTATTTCTTAGCAATTGACTTTTGATGAAACACCTCGTTTCCATTTTACTTAAGACATCGTTTTACGTCACATTCTTGTAATTACACATTTTTTGAAAATATCTATTCAGGTAGAAGAGTAGAAAAGCATGATAATCGAAGTATATCTCCCAATGCTCTACTTGGAATTGAGATAGAACGTCGTCCGTCAACAAATATTCCAGGACCAATTAAAATGGCATTCGGTAGAGCTGCACCTGGTTATTACGCACAAAAATATCCAAGTAGATATTTCTGAAAAATATTCATTTATTAATGAAACATTTTTCGGATGGATTCGATATAGGCACTCACCAGCAAACTAAAGAAGTATAGACCTGATGAGTTTATATTATATACTAGCTGGTTGCCAGATGGTAAGCAGCTTAATTAAATAGTTTTGTTCACAACAACAACTACAGACAGAAGTAAAGAAATAAATTGCTGACTAATTATAATAGTGTGATAAATAACTATTTAACTAATAAACGGAAAATATAATCCAGTCAAGTTGAGACAAAGTCGATATTGATTCGAACAAACGAACTGGACTTTTTCTCGGTGATACCACTATGGCCTTGTAATATGTATTGTTTATACGGAAATATATCTCTACCACTTATTATTTACTACTTTAGTGTATGTATAGAAAAGAGAAATCTTTTTATTATTTCTCTTGTAAACAATTCAAATTTCTAAGAATAACCTCATTTATAATATTGTTTTCCAGTATATATATCATTACCGTATACTAGGACTATCTAATGATGTTTAAAATATAAACAGACTCCATTAAAGTTCCTGGTACAATAATAATCAACCAAATGAGATAATAGACCTAAATGTTAACTGTATCTCAAGTTTAAATTAATCATATATGATGGTTATTTTGAATAAAAACCAATCTAACTTTTAACTGTGGGATAACGATGATTTATAGTAACATAAATAATTGATTTTATATTCACCAAATTATTACGGATAAAACGGGTTTGTCAGGGATTTGATTGGCAAATCAAGGTTAATGGCAAAATGATTTGATTGAGACTCCATGAACCCGTTGTTCCCTGATGATATTGGAAAGAGATAAATCTATATCAAAAATTGACTGAAACTGAAAAATGTTAATTATTGAACTCCGACTGAGTGACTGAATAATATCAAACATACTATGGGGATTGAAGGTGCTGAATTCTGTTCTGTGTGTGATTTTGGGTACTTACCGCTTATGAATTATATAAAATTGAAGAAACTGTCATTTCAGTGCTACTTAATCTTCAATGACTTTCCATTCCTTATTAATCCACTATGAAAATCGCCCTCAAACCATATCATAAAACCACTTTTTGAAGTAGCTAATATAAAATTCCATATTTTAAGTTACTGGCCAGTCAGGTGCCCCTCCCAACCAAACTGGTTGTTGAAGCCAGTTGGATCTTATTAAAAAGAGATGCGTAGAAGCACTATACAGTGAGGTAACAAATATTGTACTGCACATTTGAGTTTATAGCTGTTGCATGAAAGGAACAAATGAGAAGTAAATTTTTATAAAATCATCTACAAATCAACCAGGCGATTTATACTAAGTTATGATACATGTTCCATTGGTGGTAGCGGTAATGAGAACAATTCAAATACTTAGGTATTAAGTTAATTTTTCTAATTGGCAGTTGATTAGATGGTATACTAGTTACTAGTTGCAAACAGCTAGAAATAATTCATTCAGTAAATAAATTTACTAACTTGTATAATATATTTTTCTCTCCATATTCTCTTATTTGTTTTAGGCAAAGAAACATGGTTCAACTCCAATGCATTGCATCGTCATATACCTATAATAAGATTTAATCCATTTTCACGTGATCTAGATAACTATAAAAACGATGATGATGAATACAAAGAATATTTATATAGAGTAAATGAATTGACAGAATATCAAGATAAATATTTAGCACATACTCCATCGTTAAGAAAACAAATCAAATAATCCCGTTTTAACTTTGAGGATATAGAAGAAAGTCATACACACGCGTAGATAAACAAATTGTAGGTTAGTAACTTGATTTTGAGGACGAGTAAAAAAAAAGTAGAAAATGGACAAGCTCTTTTGTTTCCTTTCATTTTCATTTCATTTCATTGATTAACTTGTGCGAATAATGTTCGTTATCTCGAGCAGTTTGCCATATTAATTCACATAAACAAAATGATGTGCTATTTGAAAAGATTTGTAATTGTTTTCGTTTTTTTCTCTTACAACGTCATAGGCATAAAGTTGGTTAATCATTAGAAAATGTATCGTTTTTAATATAGAATAAAATAGATTCAATAAATTTGATTTTGTTGGGTTAAATAAACTATTATTTCAATTTTATCTTGAATTTGCAAGGTAATAAGTGTTGATATTAGGCTAATAATTCTATAACTTTTCAGGTTGTATCCGCTGCATAGAAAAAACTGAGATAAATAATACATCTGAGAGTCGTATAGTCTAGTAATAAGCAATGAACTATGATAAGTAAGTGGTTTATTTAATTGGACAACAATAAAAGAGCATGGATCGTAAATACTTTTATTTAATTTTTGGAAATATGACTCCTTATATCGCTTTATAACTAACTTTACATGCTCATTTTAAATATCAAGCGAAAATATTGTGCATCTCAATCCTCATTCTGATTTACTCAACTGATGATTTGCGCACTGAATGTTCTTGACTTTGCGTGCAAAACCAATAGGAATGCCATATCAGTCAAGCAACATTATTCTATTTCACATTTCTCATTAGTAACAGATTATTATGATTAAAAATATAATGAGTCAGCAATATTGAATCGTTTGATCGCTTCTCATGTGAAAATGAACATTTAGAAAGATATCTTCGTGAAAACTGATTATCACATAAATATAACTGAAAAACTATTTAATATAACAAGCGAAATTCGACGTGGTGACTGATATTCTAGATTAAACGTTTTATTGAATCCAAAGAAAGCATTTTTCTTAATTAACGGAAGACAGTCAATGAAATGCTTAGAATAATCTTTTTGTTTAAAATAGCATCATAACATGTTGAATTTATTGGTATTTGTTTTGTAATATTCGTTTCTTCGAGTAGTTGAAATACATTTCAACAACGGGAAAGCATAAATTCTTGAAAAAAATAAATGTTATACACGTTGAACAAGTTAGTGGATTACTAAATAAGATAGTTTTAATGGATAACACGTTAACATTTGAAGTAATAAGTACTTGGTTCAAATACCAATGTGAAAACTAACATTGAGATGGAGGTACATGTAGGTGACAATTTACATATTTGACAAAAAGCATATCCAGGAATCCACCGCCAGTCATAATTCAAAAGTGCAATTAAACCTATAACTACGATATATATAAATACTGAGATCAATATATGCCGAGAAAAACCAATCTAAATTGAATTAAGAATATCACCTATACTTAAAGACAGATCTTTTATGAAAATCAAAAAAAAGTTTATATCAGCATTCTTTATATTTAAATCGAACAGCCATTTTCTTAAATTTTCATTACAAGAATGTCAACTGATATAATTTATATATACAATACCCCCTTGGTGACTAGATTCAAATTTAAAAATCCTGTACAACTCTTCATATATTATTAGGAGAAAGTACAACAAATCTATCTTTTGGCTTTCTTTTCCATAAACATAATTCAACGGCTGATAAATTAATGATAACTTATCATTTAAAATTTTGATAGGTTACCATAATATTCACAAGAAGAAAACAAAATTTATACTAATCTAATTAAAATAAATAATTATCTTAATATTAGTAATTTATAATTAATGACTTAATTTAATAGAATGAATGCATTGAAAATATTACTTTAAGTGATGGTAATCACTTCAATCTACATTGAAAAGGATAGACTATTGAAATTAGTTGAAATAAATTGAAACAACCTATTTTGTTTAAGAAAACTATCTAACTGAATAAAAATAATAGACAAACAGATTCATGTTTGCCAAATTCATGAAATCACATGTTTGTTTTCTTCCAATTTTAGCCTCATGGTTTGCACACACATAAATATGTACATACTTTTTATCAGTTGATCATAGAAATATCCAATTATTCTGAAAATAAATCAAATTCATTTATTCATTTGAACACATAAGTATTGGTACAAGGGGGCATCAGACATTTATGCACCACATATTTGTGTGAGGGCTATGATACTGCTCGGGTGCCTAGACCGAAGCAAATTCATAACTTTATAAATGATTGATTTAGACTTAAGTTACTGGATTTTTGATTGATTTGAAAGACGATAGATATAAAAACGTGGAAATTTGAAATATGTTTATGAAATCTTAGTACGTTAGAGGCTTTCTATACAATTGAGAACCTGTATACTTTGTTCTTTTTGGAAATGGAAATTTGAACGTGTTTGTCTGAACTCTGAATAACAGATTAACCTCATAAAATGCTAAAGAGTATGCAGTAAACTGATAAATCTATATAGTCAGTCACTTCTTGTTAGATAAATACATATCAACCGTTATTACAGCTTAATTTGATGTAAACTGCATGTTGGAGAATGAGTTACATTTTGCGGATAATTAATTGTAACTTGACACATTAGCTGTCTGCCAATTTAATCCGCAATATATATATTCCATTTGATTCTGTTTTTGATGTAATTAAGCGTCAGAGGAAAATTATCGACAACTTTAATGTGAAATGAGATTGCATATACTATTCTGAATCAAATAAAATTTAAAACGAATCACTAATTTCCCCTATTTTAGATAGAGTCACTGTTATATCATGAATATCCCAGTTTAAAAAAAGGAGTTGGGAGAAATGAACGCTTAATGAACTAAATAATTCCAAATTAAAGTACACTATATGATTAAAGTATCATTTTGTCCGTAAGCAAAAAAAGTTGACATCACCTTTGAACAAAATTGTCATTTGTATACATTTTTAGAGTTATCACTTGGTGTATTATATAGTGGTCAACAGATCACAAACAACCGTCATAGTGACAAGAACTCAGTTATTATAATATACCTGGTAAAAATAGTAACAGTTATTAAGGTCAGAATTCATCATTTCATTTATTTGTGTTTTGCTCTATGCTTGTGAAACCTGGCCTCTCCGAGTTGAGGATGTTAGACGTCTCTCTGTGTTCGATCATTGTTGTCTCCGAAGGATTGCTGACATCCAGTGGCAACACCATGTTAGTAATCCAGAGGTTCGGCATCGTGTGTTCGGGCGCAGAGACGATAATTCAATTGGTGTCACCATCTTGAAACACCGACTTCGGTGGCTTGGACATGTTTTACGAATCTCGTCCCAGAGACTTCCACGTCGTGCATTATTTGCCGATTCTGGGACTGGTTGGAAAAAGCGGAGAGGAGGTCAGTGTATGACATGGTGTCGTGGCATGAAAGAAAGCTGCAAAGGGCTAGCTTCTGTTGGTCCTTCACGACTCCCTGGCTGGGGTCCGAGAGATGGTGCAACACAGTGGCTAGAGACGTTATTGGATATGGCTCAGAATAGAAGCCAGTGGCGATCCTGCTGCAACCTTCTTCTACTTTCTACATAATGAGTGGTTCTAACTTTCTTAACTGAAAGAGTCTTCTAGTTGTACATTTCAGTCCGCCTTATCTTTTCATCCCTTCTCTTCCTACTTTCATTATTTTGTGTGGCGCATATATATCTGGTGCCTTTTTGTACCAATATATATGTGCTTAAATAAATAAATATTAAGGTCAGAATATAATGGCGATTCGTTGTGGTACCGTCTGAAGATGCTTTTTGCCTACAGGATAAAATCTGTGGGAGACTTCTAGTATTTTGAATGTAAGCAATTAAATCATAAATAATTCTTCCCCAACAAACAACTAATAATGACAATATATTTTGTCCAATAACACAAATGTTGTTACAGTAAGGAATTCTCAGCACCGATTGTGCAATATTCCAACACGTCGGTGTTAAACATGCATTCAAACGGCGATTAATCAATAACATATTTTGTAGGTAGTTTTAAGTTATCCTTCGCCAACTATCGTGAATTACATGCAATTAGTTCCTTTTATGAATTTAAATAAAGCCAGAACAAATATTGATTCAGAATAATATGAACTCTTTATATTTCTTGGTTTCTCGTAAGCTGTTTACAACCAAATATGTACTAGAATTTTAGCACTGAGATAATAAATCTTGAATTATGACAGACTTCCATCCTTTTATTTGCTACAACTATATTTTTCATCCAACCTATATATGATGGACGGATTCTAGCACATTCCACTCTCGTTTTGTCGAAGGATAGATTAAGAGGAGAATATGCCAAGAACTACTCAATGCTAATATGAACCGATTGATATAAAGTGTTCGCGAAGCAGTCCCGAAGCCAGAATGCCCAGGAGTGATCACATTCACACAGTTGGCAAATTAAAATTTAGTCTTCAAGTCTGACAGTCCGAAATTCGGGGTAAGGCTTGATGTCTACGATGGTAAAACTGAAGAATTATTTAAGATGATTGAGGCTGAACCAGACCCTGGCTCAAAAGTCCTTGCTTACATCAGGAAGCTGAAGTCAAATAAAGATAGAAAGCATGCCGATTTCACGGCTCCAAAAGTGTTAAGTATGATCAATTTGAACAAAGCAGTGTTCTTGGGAAATTGTATGATGAGCAGTCATCAAATTTCAGTATTCGTTATAGTTATCTACAAACACCCGACGAATCTGATGATTCTTATCCTGTTTATTCGGACAAAGTGAATGTCAGATACAAAAAAGTAAACCTTGTTTCAATATTTCAAAGTTAGTACAATCGCAATACACCTGTATGTAGAATGTAGCCACCTATTGATCTCAATGAGTATGAAGCACATAAAAATGTCCCGTCCAAACGCAAACCTACACGAATCACATGCTTTGTTACTGACAAGTTGAAAAGTAAAATGTGCTTATTCGTATTGTGAATGGAATAATGGCATGGTATTTTTTTCGTACGAAAGATGTAAAAATCACCATGTATAATATTACCCATATACATTAAGACCATATAAAAGAATCCTTCAACCGTTATGTATGCCTATATGCCCCAACACTCTCATATAATCAAGGTGTGGGTAGTGTTGAGACAGTTCAGGTCAGTAAAGTCACATTACTTGTAACGTGGATACATAAAGATCCAACATTGTTTCGTAGAGGAGGCAGAGTCATATATGCATTGAACGAAGGAGTAGAACATGGATGTCAGAAGCTAAAGTTAATTTTTTCAAAGTAAGCTGAAAAACTAACTGGAAGCTGGGATACGACCATGCGACTGACCGAATGGACTCTCCACAGAAAACGTATTCCTATGTATACCATTAAAAAAAGGGGTGATATGACGGGCAGAAAAGGCAACATTACATTACATTGTGATTTTCGCTCAGCATTGCTTCAGTTTTTTTAATTCAATGTGATGATTATTCAGAATAATATTTGTTTTATAAGCAGAGATGGATAGTGGCTAACAGTGGAATCCAGAACGCGCGTTTCAACCTATTTTGGGATAGCGTCCTGGATTCCAATGTTATTGTTATTATTATTAAACTTTCCATTTTGTTAGGTGTCTGTTCCACTATGCCACACAGTGAAATCTGACAACTTGAATTGATGTACACTTGTGCTGCATCCTGCATTGTTGCCCATCACCAACCACTTTATACAAAATGAAAAAACCCAAATGATCCAAGACTATTCAACACAATTTATAGATTTAAAATAACAAAAAAATCTCATATAGTAGATAGTAATAATAATAAACGTGATAGGTTTCAATTATAATCATAGATACTATATAATATAGAAGATAAATCGTATATAAATGGCAACAGTGATGGATTTTGAACTTATATAGTAATAATAAATACTGTTAAATACTGTGAAACAACAGATTATGTTCAATGATTAAAAAAAAGTAAATCGTGTTAATTGTGTTCATCTCTCTCAAAATCACCTAGAGTGGTGTATAAATTGAAGGATAAAGATGATGTTTGCTCTTCACCGAACATTAGTTATAGAAAAAGCTTAATAATCTTTCCAGGGATGTAATAAAAAATATATATGTAGTTGTGAAGAATAACATCAACTGGTAAACATGTGAGACGTTTCTCGAATAACTATTCATACTACTTATTACTCATTAATAGTAGTAGTAACTGTTATTGTTGAAGGAAAATGAGATGTACAGATATAAGGAAAAAAATTAGAATTGAATGCAAATTACATTTTGTAGAATTGCTTAAATAAAAAGAGAAAACAAAGGTAAGCAATAGGATAGAAGCGAAAATTGGAAATGTTATTATAGCACCAAGGCAATAATCATAATAAGAGAATGTAGGCGGTGGAATTATGAAGGAAGATGTTATTTGCTAACTTTATTATGACTGTTCCCAGGAAATGAGTCAGCTGCAAAGAAAACAAAATACAAAACAGAGCAACAGAAGCATTTCCTTGAAATGTTTACAGAAAGACAATGTTATAGTTTGCAAGAATGAAATCATAAAGGTAAACATGATTGTATGAAAAACTCCCCAGTACGGTGGGTAGAAGTGGCAGACGATGATGATGAAGAAAAGTTGTACATTGATAACGAGAAAAAATACACTAAATACATGTATATACTACCTTACACACAGACATACACGGATGCATATTATACGAAGAATAAATATATAACAAAAATAAAGGGCGAAAATGAAATAAACGCAATTCAGCGGGCGCTAACTAGTATGGAAAGCTGATGTGATATGGAATAGTAAGAAAATAAACAGAAAACGTGATAATCAGCTGAGGATCAGTGAAGAGAAGGAATAACAAAACAGTACACAAAAAAGAGACGTGAGCGACTGATAAAAGATTGATAGCACCAAACTCTTAAACAAATAAAGCGGTAGTAGTGATAGAAGGAGCAGCAGACTAAAGTCACAAGGCAAGAAAAACTGACGGAGTAGCCAGAGTCATTGTATCAGGATTCAGCAGTGGTGAGATGAACAATAGAATTAATAACAGAATAAGATGATTAGATACGTTTACATACAGGATGTGTCAGTGTAACTGAATAGGCACCAAGTACTGGAACAAGTGTTCGTGCATAATGATAAATCATTTGTGAAACACTTGCATACGGTTGACTATATTCTCCTAGAATAAATTGACCAGTACTATTTCGTGTAATTTTCATATGTAAGAAGGATTTATGTCTGGAGTGAAACAATTATAAAAAAAGGGAAATCAAGTAATGTTTATACCATTGGTATTAGTACAAATTATAGTTATGATTCCTAATCACGTTAAGCATAAAAACTTAATCATTTTATAATAAGTGGAAATAATATGATAAACTGATACAAACTATTGCGTGACCTTTTTCTGACCTTTGCATGTTTCATTATGACTTCATTGATTAGATTATATTCATGCACGTACATACATTTTCGCAGATATCGTTCCTTCTCTATTTTCATAAAAGTACTTGTGTTGATTGTTCACTGTTAACGTCGAACGCATTTTAATTGTTCTCATCTTACGTGTGTCTAGCATCTACACTCTAATTAGTTATCTATAACTCATGCATTATTTACACCATATATAAAAACTAAATCACCTATTATTCACTATCAGTATGGGGTTGTGGAGATTATTATGTTTTTGGTTGGGATCACGAACCGATTGATGTTAGACCACCATTGAGAACAGGGAAGCACTGGATGGCCGTTTCGTCCTATTATGGGACTCCTCAGCAGTGCACATCTACGATCCTGCCCGCGGGATTAGAACCCAGAGTCTTCGGTCTCGTGCGCGAACGTTTCACCTTTAGACTATTGAGCCGGCATCCAACTGTGTCAACATCTAACCCCAACCAATCCACAAAACTGCGCGGCCATCTTCCATTGTACTGAGGTAGATACCTGTCTCTACTTGATACGGATTAGCTCCACTGGTCACGACTTCTAGACAGGCTATCCAGTTACTCCTGTTTGCATCTATGCAACTTTCAAATTCAATCAGTTCAGTTTGCCGTAGTCATATGAAAATTTCTAAAATATACACGTCTTAAGTTTAATTCGTATTCGGCTTTCTATTTCTACATTGCATTAACATGATAAGTCAACAGAAGATATACAAAGTTAAATAGGCAATATGTATTTAATTAGCATCATCGTTTAATCATACTAGAGTTAGGAAACGGGCACTAAAACTCATTCTATTGTTTAGCTGCTGATGAAATGACCAAAAAATAAAAAAAAACACTTTAGACATTCTAATTACTGTGTGTATTAAGAATAGATGACTATGATTCAAGTGGATCATAAATTATCTAGTAGTAAACTGTACGAGAGTCATAAGGGGTAATTCAAATATCCAACTAGAAGCTGTAATTTGTGAAGTCAGTGAGGTAGGAAGTAATGGAAGACAAATAATCATCGATAACATTAAATCATATCCAAACTATAAAAAATGCAAAATGATTATGATTTTTAAATTTGAATAACTGGATTTAAAAGTCAGACATTAAAGTGAACTAAGGCTTTACGATATCATTGCAATATGCCCGTTGTTACTGTAGCATAATGTAGCTTCCGAATAGAAATATGAGTTTTCTATAAACTACCAAAAAGATCTCAGTTAATGAAAGTGGAAAATACCTTTTAATCACCAGGTGAAACTGAGAACGTGAACGAGATTTGATTTTCACTTGGAATAATTTACAAGGTTCTATGTTTACTGAAAAACCCCTAGGTCCTGGGTTCAATCACGAGAGAGATTATAAATGAGCACTACTGAGAAGTTTCATACACAAGTACAAAATAGCTGTTCTGTGCTGTCTTGTACTAATTGATTTATGAAATGCTATCTGCTCATGATGAAAACTAATATGTAAAGACGAAACGACACAATATTTTATGTAATATGCAGAGTAGTTACTCGGCGGTTAAGACATTCAACACAGCCACCAAGTCTTGGGTTCGAACGGCACTCTATCTATTTTGATTTAGGAGACCAAGTGGTACTAACTAAATCTTATAATTAGAGCGTCGCTTGAAGCCAAGTAAATTAATCTATACCTTGAATAACAGTAAACCACTCTTCATAATAAGAAGTCTTGAATAGTTTAACATAATCATAGTAATAATCATCATAATAACAGTAACTTACTTAATAGTTAACGAAAAATCATTAGGACATGTTTCACTGGGACGAACAAGAAAACTACCTTCTGGTTCATTGCGTATTAATTCTTCAGCTTCTGACCTCGTTAATAACGGATGAAACCATCTATTATTATTATTATTTGATAAAATATACAAAACATTAATAGATATACTGGTGGATAAAGTGTTAAATTATTATTGACAAAATGGAATTAATAGATAATAATAAATAATAAAAGAATAAGTAATAATTGATTAAATCAATCACAAAAAGGAAACCTATTCATCATACTACTAAGTTAAAACAAGTAAATATCAGAACTAAATTTTTGAGTATAAGTCACTAACTATTAGAAAAATTAACTTAATTTTAATTTGAAAACTTTAACATGGTCAGTTTATTCACAGTAGAACGAAAAAAGAAACAAAACAAACTAATTTATCAAGATTATAATGCTAACCATATATACATAACATATTGAAAATTCTATCAGATATAGTGAGTATCAGTGAGAAAAAGAAACTGAAAATGTAAAAAGAATCAACATTAAAGGAAAAAAATACAAATAATTGAAGAATAATTTCATAAAAGTTCCAAAGGGATTAAAAAACTGATCAAAATCTTTGATTACTTCAAACTTTATAATCTACACCAAAACACTTTCATCATAACACAATTAGTTTCATGTCGTTGTTTGTTTTTTCTAAAAAAAGATCAAACCGACTTCTGTATCGTTAACTGAATTGTTGATTTTATTTTTCAAAGGGAGTTTTGTGGAGAATTCGGTATTTTCATAGTTGAAATCATGAGTCAATTGAAGCTAGACCACCATCGAAAACCTGGAAGCACTGGACGGCCGTTTCGTCCTATTATGGGACTCCTCAGCAGTGCGCATCAACGATCAAAATCGTGGATTGGTTGAAGTTAGACATTAACACCGTTGGATGTCGGCTCAGTGGTCTGTCGTGTAAGTGCTCTGGAGCGAGACTGGTAGGTCCTGGGTTCGAATCTCGCGAGGCGGGATCAGGGATGCGCACTGCTGAGGAGTCCCACAATAGAACGAAACGGCCGTCCAGTGTTTCCAGGTTTTCCATGGTGGTCTAGCTTCAAGTGACTCATTGTCTCAACTATATGAAATTCTCAGCACAAAGTATTTCAATAAATTTCCCTTCCCTATTTCTTGAACTAACCTAACGATAAATATTGAGTGATCGCCATTTAGATGTTAGCAGTTCAGAAATCGACATATGAATAACGTTCATTCTTTTCAATGCATATTGCCAGCCGCCACGATGTCTCTGATTGTACTTTTTTGTAACATGTACAGAAAAAGGTCGTAAACTTTCAAAAAACGTTTCTGTATAGGTTGTGCGATTAACAGACGCAATGATGTTGTTATGTCCGGACGGAAATACGTGTATGGTAACCGGTGATAATTATTTATGGATTAATTTTATGTATACATTCTTATTGTATAATTGTTAAGCAACTAAACGATATATATTTATATTCCTCTTATTATAAGCTTTTATTTGACATATTATTTACTGTTAGATGATTTGCTATTCTCAATTTATTCTCAATTATTTGTAACATTTTCTCACAATCACAGCCACTTTTGGGCTTGATCTTGTACAAATTTTGTTTTCTATTTTATGGTATGTTGTGGTCTGATTTTGCTTGTATATAAACCAAGTATGTTTCAAATGTATGATTAGATATAACTCTAGGCTGTGTCATTGGTCCAGTCAATAAGTCAGTGACTCTAATTGGTGATCGTATCGCGTGATATATTAACAGGGCACAAAGAACACGAATTATAACAGATGTGATAAAACAAACAAAAACATAACTTGTTGGAATATCTAGATGAAAGGAACAGGCAGCTCAGATATTCAAGCAGGCTGCCAGAGTTCGCGCCTTAGACCAATAAATAACTCTAACAATCATCAAAAGGAACATTTTTACAATATTTTGTTCTGCTGTCAATATAAAATTCGACACAGTAAGAGGAAAAAGATGAAATATCATTAGATGTTACGTAACATTTACAAATAATTATTCTTATCGCTTTATTCTTTAGGAGACATATTATATGTTGGTTGAAATGAGTATTTTTTACAAATAAAAAATACACTGAATAGAGTTAACACGATACCTGGGATAACAGCTAACTGACTATGTTATTACTTATCTGGTATATAAAAGTAAACTATCCATGGAGGGGAATAATGTACTATATTATTGACCAAAGGTGGTGTACCATATGGTGGAGCTCTCACTAATTTCCCTTATTCCTGTATAATCTGTCATCTTCCGCAGAAAACACTTTTGTTATGTATGCAGATAATCTGACTGAATGTATACCAGTTTCTTCCTTTTCGAATGTCCTTGAAATGAATGACTTCGTTGCGCTCATTAAACAATACCTATTTTAAGTGTTAAACTGTTTAAGCTAACCTGAGATATGAACATGACTTAAATGCTTTGTTGGAACCACATGAAGTTTATACTAATCAAAGATTCTGTAATAGAAACTGCTTTAAGTATCATTTATTTTTGGTGTCAGTTTTTATTTTGATCTCTGTTGGTCTTTTCATATTTTGTTAACATTGAAGAAAAGTTTCCGTTTGGCTCATGATACAGAGAGGATACATGGTTTTCTGGAATTTCTCGTTACTTACTTTCACGACTTGCAAATTCTTGTATGCAACCTATTATCCCTTACTGTCATCTATTATTCGTTCATGAACTTTGAAAAACGATTGCTGAAGGTAATTAGCAAGGTATGTGGTGAGTCTTTTGATTTCGCTGCTTATACGGTTATAAATAGAAACTTCAAATCGTGCAAACAGTAGGAAAAGTGTAATTTTATCAGATACTAACTATTCACTCCACTTACGTCTTTCTACTTGTATATCTCCCGATAGAGCAAGAAAATGATACATTACAACCCATGAACGCTAACAAAACCATGAAAACTTCAAAATATTGTATCTAACACACAAGCTATACAATAAACAGGCTGTAAAGAATGACTTAACCTGAAACTTATACTCTTCAGCCTGTTGCTTATTCACTGTGGTACAGATTTATACTTTCTTGGAAGGATTTTTATTTGATTTTCATTACTTATTCGCGTATAGACGTAAATAAAAATTTATTGTGACGTATAAAAAGAATATAGGCGTTTGTTGAAACATAAGTTGGTTAGTAGGTAAGTGTCTCATAGTTCATTCATTTAATATTCGACTATTCCTGACTTTGAAATAAAATAAAGTAGGATTTCTGACAATTTATGATACGTTTTATAGTTTCGTTCATTGTAGAAGAAATTTCCACTTTCTCCACCGTCTCTTTATATATCATTATGATGATTCTTTAGAATTAAGCAAACTTATCCAAATGTTGAAGATTAAATGACTGTGACACACAAAATGAAATCGTATTCTTCTGATCATCAATCGGTAATCATTGAATTTCACTGGTTTGCACAATAATTTATTGAGACAATTAAAATTTGTTGGTCAAACTAGTATTATACGGAAATTAGATTCGGTTTATCACAGTTATATTTTGTTAGTTAATTAACAGACTATCAAACAGAAATAATAAAACAGGACCTGTGACCTGATGTATGTATGAATAAGTGGCGTATCAGTTCAATCAACACATAGTTCTGATTCAATCCAATACGACAAATCGACAAGAAATAAATATTTACAATAATAATGAGAAAGTACATTTACAATTAATGAAAAAACGAATAAATGAAATGAAATGTAAAGGTATGGGTTAAGCGTTTATATATATATATAGCAATATGTAACCAGTCAACTCCTTGAATATTGATCAGCATAAAGCTATAGTCACTTACTCTTGAAGAAAATTTCACTATAGCAATCATTAAAATTACTTAATAAGATAGAGAAATAAGTAGTTCGTTATGGTAAGATCATAAGAACATACTCTCTTTGAAAGGGTTTTTAACTGTGAACAATTTAATCAGAACACACGTATTTATATTTAGGTCTACTTACTATAAAGAAAGTCGGATATTACATTTTATACATAATTTTTACACGGTTTATAAAAACGTTTTTCGCAGGTATTATAAAAGCTCTCATTTTGTAAAACGAAACATGTTTTCATATAGCATTGACCGTCTAGAGACTATGAAATGCAGATGAAGAACTTTTTACAATCGATATCTTAATATTGTTTTGATTTTTTGGAAGAAATTTAGGAATTTACGTTAACAGAATCCCTAGATTTTACCTACCACACACCGTGATAGTCATGTCAAATTCAGTGATAAAATTTCACTTTATAACGAAGTTTCAGTAACCCAATACAAAACAGTGATGATGGGTACTAGTATGAGGAATTGTGGAGATTGTAGTATTTTAACAGTTGAATTCATGAGTCAATCTAAGCTAGACCACCACTGGTTTAGTGTCAATTGATACCTAACAAACAAAAATCATATGGATTTCTGACATACTTTCTGGTTCATGAGTTTTTGAAATTGGGTCACAAATATCTATAATTTAAAATGATCATTACAGTAACAGCGTTAAACTGACAAACAATATGTAAGGATGTCGGCAACTTGTTTTTACATTTCAAAAATGATAAGAAATGTCTAAAACTCATATCAAGTGTTCAAAACTAAGTTCTCCATTAATTATCAAAAAATTAAACCGTAAAAACATATTAATTGATATTAAAACATAATGATAATCGTATTAGTGAATACTTACGGTTGTTCTTCGAGTGGCAATGTTTCCAAATGAGGAGGTAAACCCTTCGGTAGGCTATTTTGACTAGATAACAATTTATTCTTACTAACTGGATTCATTGAATGATGTAAATTAACATTAGATGAAGGTAACTGATCAAACACCTGTATCATAGAACTGGTACAATGAGAAGGGGGAGCGACTGACGTTACTACTATATGTGAGGTCATTGATACTGATGACGACGACGAAGAGGAGGAGGAGGAAGAAGACGCGCATGATGAGGAGGCTGAAGACAGGTTAGGAACTGTAAGCATATTGGTTGCAGAAGAATTACAAATTTCAGAAGTCAAGAAATCATTATTCACTTCCATTATTGTAGTAGTTGTTGTCGCATTTCCAGATTTACCAGTGGTTGAAACAATAGAACTAGGATCTATAAAACGTCCACCTGCAAATTATATTTTGAAACATACAAAATAAGATAAATTTGATGTATTATCTCGAAACTAATATAGTAACTCACTAGAGGACAATGGATGATGAATATGTTATAAACACCAAATAACTAAAGTTGGGAATGTAGATCACTCTGTGTCGAGTCATTAGTCTGAAGATAGCTTGTCCTCTGAGAGGCTTAATATTGCTGGATTTTACTTCTGTTGATGTTGAGGGTGCGTACTGCTCAGTCCTTAACTGGAAAGAAATAGTTGTTCGGCCCTCACCTACTAATAATAGTTCCTTAGATCATGTCGATTCGTGACAAAAACCATCATATAATAACCTCACACTATATGAATTCATCTCGTCCAGAAGAATGAAACGATAACAATATCACATATTATACACATTATGGATAGGTCTAAAAACCAAAAGAGTTCATCGTATAGAATTTGCTGAAATCATATGAAATGTGGACACTATCTATCGACAACGGAGCTTTCCAAAATAACAGTCACTAAAACTCCCAATTTCTTATATTTAGATTAAAATCAAAGGGAAAATTGGTTAGGTTACAACTACTCACTACTCACTTATCTGTTATTCTAATATTTCGTATAATTTCATAATACTAAATAAATTTAATATGAGAATAATCATCATTTGAAATAGATAAAATAAAATTATACAGTCAAAATATTACTACTTCCATGCTTATTCGTTTCTTACAACCTTTTTTTTCATATGAAATAATTAATTGAATGAAATGAGTTCCAATTCAAAATGATATAATAACTAACGCACAGAAGATGAGACTTTGTGTAAACTAGTTAGCTGAAATAGTCATTGACAATTGTCTCATCTTAATTAAATGAGAATCAATCTTAGAACTGTTAAGGTTTAAAAATACTAAATAATCTCTGTGAAATCATTGAACAGAAAATTGACTATCGATACTTATTTTTTCTAGTCGATTTACTCTGGGTTTAGTGAAGTATTTCAACTCAATTCTTTATGCCAAAAACATGTACCATTAAATATATGACGTCATAATGAAACAGATCAATACTTAATTATCATATCATTTCATTTAAATTATCAGTGATATTACCAGGGATAAAAGATTGAATTTCACACGCAAAGATAATTAGAAAGAGTTCAGAAAGATTTTCTTTTATGCTAAATAACAAGATTCCAATAAACTTACTCATTAACTTAGAAACTAATCGACCATGTTGGGCATCCCAAGAGTCATCACAACTACTTGTAGAAATACTATCGATATCATTAGATAAAACTGATTGTACAGGACGAGTAGTCAAATTCAATTTCAAATCATTACCATTAGTATTTTTAATTGAAATGAATTTACTAGACTCCTGTAACTGACCAGAAGAAGATAAACCATGTTGCATAAGCTGATGATGGTAATTTGGATGTTGATGATGTGATGAAGGCGGAGGATGATTTAAACTTGACTTTACCGTTTTAATCATTGTTGTTGTAGGTGTTGTTGATGCGTTACTATATTTTGGTATATTTGGTAGTAAAGATGTATCATTTGATGAATTATTGATGGTTAGATCTAAACTGAGCTAAATTTTTAAAAAAGAGACCCAACAATCATAAGAATAAATAACTACAGCGACATTGTCTATGCACAACGAGTAAACGTTTTAAAAAGAGAAACAAAGGAGAGCAATATTAATCAAATTAATGTAGTTTCAAAAATGTCTTGCACTATCCTTAGACGAAACGAGTAACCAGTAAGGTTCATAAGTCTTACTGAATGAAATGTAAAAGCTCAAGCCATACTGTAAATATAGTAAAATGTACATATATACACACATATGTCAACATCTGTAGTGCCGATTCGTAATAGAATTTATGCTGTATAATAACATATTCCTATCACGAAAATGTATGCTGTCGAAAAAAAATGCTGGATCAAAGTTTACAATATGCGAATATACTGAACAACATGCATTTACTCATAAGAAGAGTAAACAGATATATTATGGAAAAAGATTACACATAATCAAGACATCTTTCCAGTATAATTCAACGATGCTTTGCTGCTTATTGCTTAGATGTTAAGACGACGAAACTGTCAGTTTATAATTAAACAATAGATAAGCTAAAAATAAAATAATTTAAAGGTATTCTTAACTCACTGAGGATTAAACTCAGGAGCTTTCAATTCTCACTGTGGGTATATAACCTTCAGACCACTGAATAAATTACACAATGGTTCGCATTTCCAACTTCAATGAATGGTTGTTTAACTGAGTTCAGTCTGTAATCTAAACTACAAAATTCAATAATCTCTACAAACCCCCACTATACTGAGAAGTATGTTTCAGAAGAACCTGTTTAAAATCGTGAAACAATGAAGAGCTGTTTCATCCTAGTTTGATACTACTACCCATGGAAGCACCAATCACAACCGCACACATGTGATAGAACGAAGTGCTTTGAAATTTCGCAACAACTGTGATACTCCTAGACAACTGAATCGAAAGAAGACAATGATTCACAATTTAAACGACTGTGTTAGTAAACTGTGCTCCTGATTTAGTGTTTTCAATTGGTTACAGTTAAAGTAATGTTCATCGTTGATTCCGTAGAAATAGTTTCTCAATAGAATTCTCATTTAAAAAATCTTATCTCAGAGTTGATCACTAGTAAGTACACGGTGAGATTATTTGACGGGATGGTTTTGTGAAGTTGTAATATTGCAGTTGTAACAACCAGTGAAAATTAGACTTCAGTGAATCAGTGAGTTAAGTTAAAATGGCGTTAGGTTATGAAAAGAAATTACGAAATATGTACAAACAATACCATAAAATTACTACAATTAATTTTTATGGATAAATAATATTGATTTTTTACGAATTTACACAAGTTTTCAGAAACAACACGAAAAGATAAAATTTGTAAAACAAAACAAAATTTGAACCAATTAGTTGTTATTGTTGTTGTCATTTTGGGTGAACATTTCTGTAGAGGAACAAGGAAAAGATTCATAAGAAAAAATCCTTTGACATACAAGTCGTATCAATTATATCACAAGGTTTAAGGTCAAGTCAACGATAAAAGGAAAATTATGAGGACCAAATTTTTAAGTTTTTCTTAAAAAAACGAAAGAAAACAGCAGCTAACCAGTGACTAAGATAGCGATGACTTATAATAGAACGGCTACACAATATAATACATGCTGGCACTGACAACAAGAAATAGACATATTATAATCAAATGACATGAAAACAACAGCTGATTATTTCATGGTAAGTAAAGAATAATATTTAAAAAGGTTAACATATTTTATGTAATAAATCTATTGAAGTTTACGACAGTTTATTTTATATAGATATAGACTATCTATCTTTCCGAAACTCTATAAGGACGTAGATTTTTAAAAGTCCTCACATTGTTTTTGGTTTGGGATTAACGGGTGAAAACTAGTTTAGAGTTAGGGTTATCAGAATAGGTGGTGTGAGGACAATGTTGATTTGTAGGTTGTATACAATCTAAATAGGAAGAGTTGAGCATTTGATACTTTGAACACTATTTTTACTCTAAGATAGCAATGAGTAATACTGTTTTATCAATTCGAGCGTTGTGAGCACGATGCAAAAGTAATTCTACTTTTTTTGCTTTATGTGACACAAGATACAAGTCATTTCTTTTTAAATTTGGTGTGAAAATCCAAAAGTGGTCTGTTTAATTTTGATTGGCTCGTCAGCATAGTATACTTTTACCGAACACATAATGTGTTATCAGTATACGGTTTACTGAAGATTATAGAATTTTCAGTTTAAGTTACGAACTGACCTAAGCTAAATCACCATTGAAAACTAGGAAGTACTGGACAGCTGTTTTGTCCTAATATGGAATACTTCAGGAGTGCGAGTCGACGACCCCGCCAAGAAGTATCAGACCCAGGATCTCCGGTTTCCCACGCTCACTTGTTAAACCAATGCGGAAGTATTACATCAATATTAATCAGATAACTATCTTTTTTAATTTTAGCCTACCTGTGGAATCTCATGATTCATCTGAAATGAAGCTGAATCACACAGTATGTATGTAAATATGTACCTAATTAAACGTTTGAATGTGTGTATGAGTGTGATCAAGTGAGTGAGGAAATAAGTGTATGCGTGTAAATTGGACCACTAAGTAAATCTAGTTGATAAGTTCCCATCAGTGAGTTAAACAAATAAGTTGATGAAAAAAGTAAGTTACGCTTTACGGTAACAGACTCTAAATAATAATAAAACAATATATACTCCAACCCTTAATCTATATATTCAAGCAACTAAAACAAATGTTTACACTGGGTATTAACCTGGTAAGCTGCCTTATTCCTCCCTCATCAGACAGTTCTAAAAACGTTCTATCTATCTGTTATAAAACGAAATCAGGGACATCAAATATACAACATAAATGAAAGACAAGCTCTTCGATTCAACGTAACTACGACAAGAATGGTTCAATTTATTTTGTATTGTTTTTTTTTGTCTTCCCATTAATGTTTAAGACTGCAGTTGAACAGTCTCTTATTGGAATATGTGCACCCTGTGCATATTGCCTTAAGTTACAAGCATTATAGACAGAGATGGATGGTGGCTAGCAGTGGGATCCAGAATTTCTACGCGTTGAACAGTTCTAAGGTTTGACACAAGGTTTAGTTTATTAAAATGAAGAGTTCGATAAATCTAGAAATTTATGTTGGTTGCAGGGTTCATGACATCCCGATATGCTAAGTTGTGGAAAATGAATTTTTATGGAGGAAGATCTTATGAGGTGCTATCAAGAACATCAGTAGAACTGATGAATCATAAACGATTGTCGAATTCTAAATTTTAAGTAAAAACCATTAAATAGAAAATAATGATATGTGTATGTTCCAGTTCTTTTTTCATATAAGATTAATAGTTACGGATGTTTACCCAGATGTTAGAGCATTTGACTTCCAGGCAATAGATTGCAGACTCCAACTTTCCACCTGTCTCATCCTTTAAATGCCGGTGGTATCTCTGGTCCTCAGGTGAAAAATGTGTCTTATCTGTAACAGCTTCTGTTTAGAATCCGTATTTCGGATTTAAACAGTATTAGTTTTTAGCAATAAACTTCCAGTAGCACCTAAGAGGTACCTCCAACTGAAGAGCCTCAATTAGGACGAAACACACGTCCTGGATTCTACTGAAAGCTATCATCCCTCTTTGCTTATAATAGTCCAATGTTTTCACAGATAATTTAAAAATACCTTGAATGTCAGAGCAGAAAAGTGTTCCATAGAAAAAGGAAAAACAAAAAACTATCTATCCACCTTTTTCTCTTCAAACCCACAAACAAATAGATTTGAGTGAGTCTACTTTTCAGAAAAAACAATCAAGCATAATATTTAGTAATCGAAGTGAAAATGAAATTTAGTTAGTAAATCGATTTTATTGGCTCAGTTAGCAGATTATGAAACAAAACTCTCATAAGTCTTTTATAAGTTAGAATAATAATAATCTCCAAATTTCTAACTCTAATCATTACCCTTGTATAAAATATGTAATTTGTTTAAAACAATAGTATTAACTGATACTCTGGATACTGGATACTCACTCGTTAATCCGTTTGACAACTCGTATTGACATTGAAAATGTTTATTTACACTAAGACTTAGGCAAACTATCGTAAATACATTCTTTCAATAACAAGAGAACAGAACAGAGAAACAAACAAATTAATACTAAGTACATATTTGATGAGCAAAGAATCTATGGTTAAGTGTATATGTATGCATAAACAACACAACCAATGTCAACTATTTCATTTTACATCCCGAGTGGAATTCTCTTTTAACTATCTTTACATAAAGATAAGTACAAATGGATGTTCTGAAATACAATAATTATTGTTCTAGAAGACCAGAAACAACTATGGAATGAAAGTATTTTTGAAAACACCCTTACAGTTATTTATAAATGCTAAACTACAGGGCCAAAAATAAATTCGACAATTGGAAATATGAATTACAGGATGGCAACTTATTGTTTTGAAAGTGGTACATCGTAATGAGGCCTGAAGGTTTCGGGCTGGATCACTGATAAAGACATGTGTGCTCAATGCAACTACATTCCGTATTAGGACGAACTATTTGTCAAGTACATCCTGGTTTCTAACACTCATAGGATTAAAGTTAATCTATAACATAAAATGTCTTTAGATTCGTATATTTATCAAAAAAATTATTGAGTTGTGGGGAGAAAACTGATTGCATAGATCTGGAGCTAAATCAAATCAGTATGAAGGGATTTATGATAACGACAGAGTACACTAAGATGAAAACATCTGTTGTTATGATATACTGCAGAGTACGAATTGAAAATAAAAATGGGTAGGAAATCTGAAAATAACATCAGCAGTAGTGAAAATAAAACATAAGAAACATATTTTCGCAAGAAAAGTTGATGAAGTGAATCAGTTGAAAGTCAAGATTTAGAGGAATACTAAAATTAAATTCCACCAATGTTGTACTGTATTGCTTGAGGTCCCCAACCAAAAATTACGATTAAACTGACTTCAACCAACAAACCAGTACCTCTTAACATAGATTCAACTAATATTCCATGACCTTATATACTGTTACCATATCTTGGTCTCCTAGCACTCAAACGTTTTCCAATCTATTCTTCTGTCGCTAAGCAACGCATGTTGTGATAGGTCGCGTTTAGGAAACACATACGTCAACCACTTAGGATTGGTTAATATATCATTTATCTATTCATAATCAAATCAAGAATCAAGTACCGAACCGCTATTTTATCTTAAGTTAAACTGATAGTATTTCCGTTGAAAACGGAAGTGTAGTATAATGGCTTTAAACATTATTAACCAGAAAACTAAATCTAGATTAAATTGATGTCATAGAAGACGACACGAACGTTCTATAGAATGCATATTTAGAACGAGGTGGAACCAAAAAAACTTACTTTGACACCCATACTCCACGAACCATTATAAGCGTAATCATATTCACCGTTGTTTTCTGATTTTCCACTTAACTAAATAATAGACATACAGAAAGAGATAGGAAAAATTAATACAAACTCCCAGTAACAACTATATAAGCTTACCCATTTAAATTACAGAAAAGAGAATTTTCACGAAGAATAATTCCATCATAGTTTGGTGAAAACAAAATGAAAGGACTAATTATAGACTGTAATGAATTTTATCGATTGGAGGAAAAGCAAGTGGCAACTTCATTTCACTACTGAACTACATCTAAGCAAATAAACATGAATACTTAATTTTTGTTATCCTTCAAAAACGAGGAAAGAATATAGAAAGAATCCATAATCTATTGAAGTTTACAAGCAACAACTTTGAAAAGAAAAGTGTTAGCAATCTCATTTTACCGCAGTGTAGTAAATATTATTCCCACCGTACGAATAGCTTGACAATAATAACTTCAATGATTGAAACATTGTGTGGAACTTAACGCCACATTTTTCCAATAAGTCAAAAGTTATAACTAAAGTCAGATCTATGCCCTGTTGATTACAAGCAACAACAACAAAAAACACAAAATGAAACCCGTCGTTGGAATGTCGAAGTATCCCCATCGAATTGAATGGCATAACAAAAACATTAAAATTGTTATATTTTTACGTCAAAATTGTTAGTATTATTCATTTGGAGAATTACAGATAGCAAAGAATAGTAACTGTATTGACCGATTTATTAAACAGATAAAATTTATGAAAGAAAATTCTCGTAGATCACTACATATCTGTAGGACACGAATAAAACTGATATACAGGGCAAATTAATGAGTTTGCATTATTATTGCTTAGAATTCTCTCTTTAATGAAAACTTTTCAACTACCCATTGTTAGTGTTATTTCTAGGAGATTTCAGTTAATCAATGAATAGCATTGATTTCCATTATTATATTGTGCAGTTTATAAAACATTGAAGTGACCACCACCATCTGGATGGTATAAATGATATTTCAATCATGCACAGAAATAGCGTTTACAGAGTTCGGGAGCGGAGGAAACACACGGAAACTATAACAAGTGATTTTTGAATTTGATAATGACTGAAAGACGAATTACTTGCACCAGTCTTTTTCTAGATTTATTGATTCAATTAACTATGTGTAACAAGTTGCATTGACCAATATTAGAAAAATTTACTTTTCCACATACATGAACATCTTACAGGATGGCTAAGAAAATCTGTAGCTTTGCAATGTAAAGAATATGGACTGATAATAGGCCAACTAATGGTCACTTATTATCAATAATTTGCCGTATTGAGTGATTTATTGAAGGCAGCTATACTCCTGATTACAAAAGTGGCAGAATCCAATGTCATACGAATAAAATAAGTGGGAAGGTGAATTTGAAAAACTAGATTCCACTTCTGTTTTTACATCAGTTACCTTATCAAACCCAATCATTTCTTGATCAAATACGCTGTGAATACAAACCACTTCCACTTACCGACTCCGAATTATCACTATTTAATTTCATCCATCCAGTTTGATTCATATCACAAAATATATTGCGAAAATTGGCTTAGCATTTATTCTAGTCTTAACACCCGTTTAGTACACATCATTTTATCTGCATTACGTAATCTCTGAACATTTGGTTTATTCACTAAATATACAATTGTTTTTATCAATCTCCATTTATTCATCTGACAATCTTGTCTCATTAACAATCTGTCTGAAGTAATATTGATCTACAAACTGCTTTTCAATTCATGATCTTCAATTTATGTTTTGTATTTAATATTTGTTACAAAAATGTGTATTTGCCTCAAACTTAATCATTTTATTTTTTTCGATTAGTAACCTACAGTTAAAAAGCTAATGAGAATCTATCGAAAAGAACTTTTTCATTCATTCATACATCTCTCCGTACAACAAAATGATATCAGAATTGGTTTTACATTTATGCCCCACTTAAAAAGGTGCATCTAAACGATATAATCCGTCAAAAACACTAATAATGAATAATATCAAGTTCTAAAAACAGTCATCAAGCGTTAGACATAAATGTTAAGGATTTTGAGGTAGACAAAAGAAAAAAATAGGTATAATAGTTACTAAAGTTAGAAATGTTCAAGTAATACAATCGACTTTATCTTGTGATATCGTATGTATGCAAGTGATCAATAGTTAACCGATTATATTATCTCAGACACTAATAATAGTTATCATTGATAAAAATAGGAGTAAAATATTACTAGTTAACTAGCACAAATTACAAATGCACATAAACACATGCATTACATGCATCCATACACCATGAACACTAATGATGAAGATAAATAGAGAAAACCAATTCGCGTAGAATTATGCAGAAAAAATCCGAATGGATATAACAACTACAAAGTGAACTAAAGAAACATTTAGGGATAGACTGGAATTTTACGAAAACAACATATTTATATTAACTGAAATAATTAGGCTTGTGTTGAATCATAGTGAAAAAGCATAATCGAACAAAATAATAGGTATTCATTGATTAGATTAATTCAAAACAAGTAACTATTCTGTTAATAAATGCTCACAAAAAGGAGAGAGAATCAAATTGATACTGAGTTTGAATTCCGATGTGGATATCAAACAAAGACAGACAAGTGGGTTCATCTGTCGAGTATCAAAACAGGACGAAACGTATACTCAAGAACTCAATGCTAATTACTATAAAAATTATAATCAGTATAGTCAATTCAGGGTATATAGAGCCTTCTGTTTAAAAAATCATGTATTGCAAAAGACTGACAGAACAGTTTGGTTCTGAATGCCGCATAAACAGTGAGAAAATAGGCATCTTTCGCAATTAATTACTCACTGTATGATTAATTCTAACTTGTCATTATTAAGTTATTCTCAATCTTGTGAGTGTGTGCTTGTTTTTATTTTTGTTTTAGTCAAACGACTAATTAGTCAGAAGTAGTTTACTTCTTTTAGTAGTAATCCTTCAATAAACTTTTACTCAATGATAGTTATAAACGAGAAGCAATGATCAGTGTTGAGTCAAACAATATCATGAATCGATCGAAGTTAAATATGTAAACTGTCGGATGGATGCTCAATTATTCAAATCTGATAAGGTTATCTCAAGACATCAAAGTCCTGGGTTCGACCCCCGTTGGAACTGTGGATACTCACTCTCAACAAGTCCCACACTAAAACGAAACAGTTGTCCAGTGCTATCTGCTTTCCAATGATTATCCGACTAACAACAGTTCATGATGTAAACTATGAAAATTCAACAATCTTTACAAACACCAATAACAAATATGAAATGGTAAAACGATTCTTGATTAGAACAGATGATTTTTCTAAAACAAACATCTTATACATTCATTTTAAACATTAAAATAATTGCTAAACTCTATCTTCCTAATAAAAAATTAAAGTACTACAGTTTGTCTGTTGTATTTTATTAATTAGATTGAATCAAATATTCTAACAGAACGATATATATGATAAAATGATTATTTAAAATATAATATCTATCATTAACCTAACTAATATCTAATGTTGAAATTTGCTTTTAAGAAAAAATGGAAAAAAATAATAAGAAGGAAACAATTTAAAAATGAAACGAAAAAAATGTAGCAATCATAATTATCTATGAATTAATTGCTCTCAAGTGACCATTACAAGAGAAAAGCAAATCGGCGATTATATAACATAGTAGTATTTAAAAATGTTATGTTATAAAAGAGAAAAGATAATAAAACTATATGACAGAAACAAAATAAAAGACATAAGTTGAATTGATGAAGAGAATTCGCAATTGAAATGGGTACTTTTGGTGGTGTTTTCATAGGCCATTAGATTGTTGGTCTGTGTGTATGACAATCTATTCATGTGGGAGGGAAGTTATTAAACCTATTCAAGTTAAATAATTATGTATTATAAACAATAGCTTAAGTTGATTATCAGTGGAATGTACTGGCGAGTCAAGGTTATTATGGCTGAAAAAAGTCCTTGCTTAATTAAAAGTATAAACGGCGTGAAAACGATTGCATCACATTTCAGATAGTTTACCAATTTACGTATGCATGTGAGAAAAAAACATATAGGACAAACAAAATAGGGAGGATCACTATGTATGTAAGGTTCAATGATCCAAGAAAAGCAGATGATAAACACTCATTTTCTTCCATTCCTAAAACCAAATTTAAGAAACAAGTCATAAGCTGAATCTCAAGTTAGGCTTTGTAATTTTTGTATGGACGTTTTTTAGGATGAAGTACTTCAGTTTTAAAAAGCTAAAGTCATACGAAAGATCAAACCCCTTCATGCGTCTTAGGAAAGTATCTATATTTACAGTAAATCTACTCTCATAATATTGATTACATTCTGATATCCAAAACAATGTGATTCATATTGTTTTTAAATAATATCTTTATTTTTGCCAAATATTTGACCTTCGTTTAGCAGATAGCCATCTTCATGACCAAATTGTTTGAAATCTATTGTTCTAATATATCGCATGATTTTGATAAACATTGTTTTCTCATTCTATTTCCCTAGATTTATCAAACGGACTAACATTTTTAAAGTATCATACTCATTCCTACATTCATTAAAATGATTTTGAAAATTATAGTCACATTAGTAATAACCTCCTAAACTATATATATATATATCCTACTTAATAACCTCCTGTCAAAAGATATTTTCAAAAATGATGGAAGAAACAAATACTTACTGGTACTGCATAAATACTATTAAATCCTGTGAAATGGTAACTTCGTACGATTAAATAATATCGCTTTCAGCTGGTAAGTGGCAGGTTCGAATCCCGCCCTACCTAATTTTAGTTTGATTGACCGGATAGTATTGTTAGCTTTTGCATAACTACAATGCAGCTCAAAACTGAATAAATAAAATCCGTACTTAATACATGAGTGAAGCATATCTATGAGATCTCATAACATTTCAATGACACACACGTACACAATAACTTTAAATCGCAAGTAAAATATTATAATATATGTATATACATACCACCATATGACTAGTATGATTGCTAATTAGTTCATCATGACGAAATGAACCATTTATATCATTAGTTGATTTTCGATCCAATTTATTCAAATGTACTAGTCTCGTATCTATCACATGATCTGCACGATTTGGTTCATCCACATGATTGGTAGTGGTGATTACTGATGTTAATTCAGAATTACTAGTTGAATTTATGAGCTTATCATTTGAACAAGAAGAAGCAGAAGAAGATAACGAAGAGGATGTCGATGTTGAAATATTCAACAATTTCAAATTCGACTCAATAGAATGACAATCATCAGTTGAACATTGTATATTATTATTATTATTATTATTATTATTATTATTATTATTATTATTATTATTATTATTATCCAATGGCAAAGGCTGAAGCGGTGAAAAATTTGGATTATTATTTCTAATAATATTTCTATTATAAACAGAAACGGGAGATAATGGGATATTTAAATCATGATTATTTGTAGAAGCATTGGAAGGTACAGAAAAAGGAAGTTGTGGAATGTGATTTTGAACATTTGATGATAGCGGAATAATTGATGGCAGACGTGATACACCGATACCAAGTTGACGAGCTAGTTTTAAATCCCAAGCTTCTTCATAAGTTGGATAAGAATTGGGTACATTAGAACGTCTACGACCGATTCCTTGTGAATTATTTACTTTATTATTCATTAAACTTTGTGAATCCGCAGAATTTGTCTTAGACAAGTTTATCGATTGATTTGATTCACTGGAAATAGAATCTGTAAAGAGAAAATAGACAGAAATTTCGACGAAGAATGGTGATGAGTTTTTACCTTAAATGGAAGTTGATCCAATTTTTGTCTAGAACGAGAAAAATTAACCCACTGACTAGACAAAAAGACATCAAATATCAGAAACACATTTTGATGATATCTCATAAAATCAAACTCCTATTGTTATTACAAACATACGTCTGTCATGATCGTATACCCATGAGACTGTAATAAGAAAACTAAACTTACATCATCATAAACTGAGAACTAAAATACTGAAAGTTGTAAGAAAAGGAAGGAAATAGACATTTACTTAAAAATGAGCTAAGGTCAAATTAATGAACACTTTCATTACGTAGACAACTGGTCAACATTATAAATAATGAATAGTTCAACGAACAGAAATTTTGTTGAATACCTAAAACTTTTTACATAGATTGGGGGAAATGTCTAATGCTCATTGACCAAGTGCTATACAATTTCTAAGCAATTTTATGATATTATTTTACATATTTCTTCATTAAGCAAAATGTTTTTTTATCCATTGAACTAAATTTCATACAATTGTGATAAAGTATATGGTTAGACGTTTAATCTCACTTTCATATTTTACGAGAATATCAGTAACAATAAGACATCTTGTGGTCGATTTGAATCGTGATCATCAAAATTATTGTCTTATTTAGTAATAGTGATTAAATACAGTTTTATCAGTAATCTCCCTAGTTTAAATAAACTGATGGTAATTAATCAATGATTTGGCCATAACAGTAGAATATTATCACAACTGTACATAAACAAAAGTAAATTATATGGATGACCTGTTATTCAGTTACGTGTACGTAGTGAATACAACAATGAACGCCTGACTAAATAATAACAATAATTAGTGAGTTTATAGGGATCAATACCTAGGTTAGACTTGAGAGTTTCAAATAAATTCAGCACTCAGTAGATTAGTTAATACTAATTAGATTTTTCGTTATACCCCAATGAGTAGAAAAATTGTATATCTGACGTTTAGTGACTTAATGTAAGCCACTTCTTCAGAGTAAATAAATAACCAATTTCAGTTATTTATTTACTCCCGAAAAGCGACTTACATTAAGTCACGAAACGTCAGAATAACAATTTTTACTCATTGGGATATAACAAAAACATATTTACTATAATTAACAACTAAAAGGCGGCCTGCTTGAACATCTGGGCTACCTGTTCCTGTCATCTCGATATTTCAACAAGTTATATATTTTTTTTGTTTTTATATATCATTATGGCTATTAATCTCATAACCTATTCAGGTGCGTTTCTGAAAAGTGTACAAATTACAAAGACCCAATCAGAGATATCGTGGTTGCTGGCAATACGCAGAGAAAGGAATGTACATTTTTCAAATGTTGATTGACTGGACTGCTAACTTCTAACCGGAGATCACTCAATATTTGTCGTCAGTATCGATCAAGAAATAAGAAACGGAAACTTGTTGAAATGTATTGTGCTCCGAATTCTATATTGTACCAAAGATATAATATTGAATAAAGCTAATAATAATTATTATTATGCATCGAAACAAGTGTAAAACATAATTTCTAGCCAAAAACAGTATTAGTACAAAGAATTTGTGAAGGTTGTAAATTTCTGATCGTTGGAATCACAAACTGACCCCAGCTAGACCACCACCGGAAACCTGGAAGCACTAGACGGCCATTTTATTCACGTATGGGACGCCTCAGAGGTGTGTATCTACAACCCCTACACGAGAAACCAAACTCAGAACACTCAGACTCGCGTGCGAACGCTTAAACTCTATACCACTGAGCCAGCATTCAACGGTGTCAATGTCTAAATTCAACCAATTCATAAGAATGCGCGACTCTCTCTCAGTGACAACGTAGAACTTCGTACGTACGTACATCAGTTCGAGTTGCAATACCACATTAGCACAGAAATGAAGTTGTTGATTCAAATCCCATATTGGTAGAAGTAGTAAGAGTATAAGTATTATGTGAAAGATAAGGGTTTGAAGATGTTATTCAAAGAGTGTATTTCAGTGAAATAAATTTGTAAAGAGAAGAAGGATAGGTGCATGTGGAATTCAGAAGAATAGAGTTTGGTAGAGCACAAAGAGTGGATGCACCTTCGCCATTACAAACGATTTTGAGCCATATCATTCAAGGTCTCTAACCACCGGTTGCTATCATCTCGCGAGTCCCAACCAGGTAGTCTACACCTACCAACACGGCCCAGTCCACTTGTCAGCGACTTCATGGATTTATGCCATGTTTTGGTCTGGCCGCCCTTAGCTTTCTTCCAACCTGCTCCTACACCATGAAACATAACATAACAATAATATTGTAGTTAACGAAGAACTCAGGTGGAGGGAAACAAATTAATTGTTCAAAGGCAAAATTACAGTGTCTTCGTAGAATAAAAAAATCATACATTGAATACATCATTTGCACATCTCCCATCAATCGTCTCTTACAAACGTCACCGTCCCTTCATTTCTGTTGTTATTACAATTACTCGCTGTCCACATTCCCCTTCTCTCCAATTAAACCTTCTTAATGCATGCATTCCACTTCCGAATGGTGCTACATACTACTCATATCTGTCAACATAAGTAGCATACACCACACTCAACCTCTCTTGAGGCAAAAGTCACTCTTGGGTTCGTTCTGCTCACCGTACCGCTTTCTTCTTTGTCTCAGCCAGTGCTTCGCCTCCCGCAGAAATTTCCAGCCGCCAGCGTGTTGATCACCGTAGCAATGTCAACCTGCCAGGCCATCTAAATCCGACGTCCGCTCAGCAACCAAACTCGCGACGTTTCCCCATCAACAGCGCCTGCTTCAGCCAACGTTGCCCCGCAAAAGAATTACACTTGACGTCTCCTTCCCGCACCAACTAGCGACTCCTCTCCCAGACCCGTAACAGCATCCACAGAATAGCATTCTCCTTGCCTCTCATTTGACAAAGACATTACAGAATTCTTTCGCTAAATATGAAAACCATACTTCAAACTTCGTTTGGTGTTACATACTGCTTATTCTTGTCAACATAAGTGGCATACACCACAATATAAGCTTGTTAAAAATACACTCATGATACATAGTAATTACTCATATCTGTATTATTATCATCATTTTTAAAGTGTCCTTAGAAATCAACACTTTTTTCCGTCTACTCTAAACAATCCCAATGTATTCAGTCTCCTATATTTTAATCAGTATATTAAAAACGAATATATTTAGAAGGAAATAAAATACAACAGAAACGTATGTATCCAGTCGCAAGAAAAATGAAACAACGTTCATACTAAGACATATTCTCATTGATGAATGAATAAAATAGTAATTACTTATTATCAAAATACACATCCAAATCCTAACCCCTTCTCACTATCCTCCCATACACACGTGATCAGGTAGTTAGTCAATCTTTTCAACTGAAATCATGAAAATTATTTGCATTGGAATTAATCCTCACTTCTGCGAACAGAAGCATAACGCGTGCAGAACTATTCCTACTATAAACATGGAACAACAGTCACACAGCATCAGTATGATACTCTGATCCATTACATCAACAGGAAACATTGCGGATAATGTGTATCAAAAAAGATAAATTGAAGACGGTATAACATTTATTCTATGTGAATTTGTTATTTAAATCTTCCCACTGGTGTTTAGAACTGCAATTGATCAGGATGATTCTACTTCTAATCACCTTCTATCTCTGCGTTAAATGTTTGTGACTTGAAGGCAATATTAAGGCAATCCGCACAGGATACAGATATGCTTAAACAGACTGATCAATTTCAGTCCTAAACATCAGTAGCATGATCCAAAAGACCAATATATATGAATTACAATTCACCCCATTGCAAACGCCAATGGCTACCGGGTCGCAATAAGCTAAGTGGATAGTGCGATGACATTTGAAGTGAGTAGTACTGGGTTCGAGTTCCAGAATGAACATCAAATCGGACGCAGACACATCCAGCTGATGAGTCTGAAAGAGAAAGGGAAGCGCGGTCCGGATCCCATTCCTAGATACCATACATCTCTACTAAAAAGGCATGACTTCTAGTCATGAGATATCAAAATTTAAGAAACTCAACGAAAGAAATGAACTTTGACATATAATATAAGGCTTAGAATAGAATGAACAGTACCCCTAACTTTCTCAAACGCTTGTCTGACCGATTTCCTATGACTGCCATCTGAGCATTATGTGTATATAGACTAAACAAATATAAAACTATACAAATCAGTATGATTTATTTTTTAAAATAAATAAAACATACTTATCTGCTGATTACCGTTGACATGAACAGACTGTTTTTGTAGAGAACAATCAGAAGAATCTAACTGAAGTTGAGTCGAAACACAAGATGAACCTTCTGTTGCAGAAATACCAGCTACAGGAATATTTTGATTAGTAGAAAAATTATCAATGCATGCAGTTGTATGGGTGGTAACGGTAGAAGTTGTGCAGACATTAGACATGGATACCGATGATTTTGTTGACTGAATAGGGGTCTTAACATTAACCTCATTTTTTCCAACTACACCACGAGGAACACGTGCAAAAGGACTGGCTGGATGATGTGTAATAACAGTATTACCACGTGGAGAATTGGCAAAACAAACTGTATAAAGTTAAAAACAAATTATAGTAAACATTTCTTTCTTTCTGTTTATTGTATTAATATTCACACAGCTTAATATTGTAATGATATGATGTACACAAATATTTCATAAAAATGTACTCGGATATAAATGTGTATTTTATTAAAATAGAATATTTGCGCAAACTAGATGTCTTTTTTTATTTTTCAAATGATCAATAATACAATAAAATACTAGACAAAATAACGTTATCAAGTTGAAAGCGATCATAAAAGGATAGGTCAACATATATCGAAGAATATAATCAGGGACATTTTATGCAACTATGATCATTGATATAGTGCAGACCAGATTATCTTATTTATTACTATTTATTTAAACACATAAATATTGGTACAAAAGGGGCACCGAATACATGTGCGCCACACAAGTCACTTGATTTGTGTATGGGTTGTAATACTGACCGGGTCTCCAGACCGAAGCAGTTGGTTTACTTAGGGGGCCACACTCAGGCCTTCGAATTAAAGGTCTCATGGTAGCCGGTGAACAACATTTGGTTCATATGTCATTTGATTCCTCAGGATGCTTGAGCCCATGTGCATTATTGGTTTGGAATCATGGTTTTCCAACTCCCCTAGGTGGACATTCCACGTCCATCAAGCCGGTTAAAGTGCCGGACATTCGCTTTTCGTTCTCTCAATTTCATGAACAACAGTAATGCCGCGAGAAGTTAGTGAGTAGGACTTCCCTGGCAATGGCTGTATACGCATGGCCATGTGAGAGTATTTCTAGAGGAAGAGCGGACTCTTTCAAACACTTTATGAAAAACTGAATAATTTGGATGCAATATTTTGATGAATAAAAACTTTTAATGGCACTGTTTATTATAAATCACTATTAAACTTTCGTTCAAGTTTCGAACATTGGTATCTCCACTGTGATTTGATAGATGTTTGTCATTTTTAGCGTATGCCTTTCAATGTAAGATCACACTTCAGTTCTGTAATTTTATTCCAATAAAGAAACTGTAACACAATGTGTATAACAAGATTAAATAGTTGCAGATTAAGTTAAATAAATAAAAACCCGATCAATTAAGCAAAATACCTAGACAAAAACTACTTAATTCATTCTCTAGTAGAATACTTAAATCGATAAATACTGATTAGTATTTGACTAATAAAAACATCAGAATGAGTTTGTAAGTATCATTGCGAAGATTCGACTTGGTAATTTTAAATCAATTAAGTGTTGGGTGAGTCCTCTATTATGCTAATAACTTTAATAATATATTTGTATCATTACAAGAAACAAAAAAAGTTTAATTCTCTAAAAAAGCAACTTACACTAGACTGAGAAACATCAGAAATTCAACTTTCTACACTATTACTCTAATGTTATTAGTATTACTATGGAAAATATGAAAGTTTTACGTTTTCAATTATTGTTACATTTTTGCGCATACATAACTGAGTAGCTAGTTAGTTTTGAAAGCAAGTACTCAAAAAGAATATAGTACTAACTAGAGTGAGTACAAAAGACACTGAAAGATTTGAAGTGTAATTTATGCCATTTCCTTAAATTTGATACATTTTTTACATGAGAATGCATACTAATAGTCACTGAACTAGAATTCACAGTAGAAAAACTTTTACAACGCCTGTCAACAGTCTAGAATAATGATGTACAATTCAGATATTTCCTATTAATCAGCAATCAAATCAACTATGAATAAGATATTGGTTCCTATTGCTTTGTCATGGTTGTCTGATTTAAATTCTGTGTCACCAGTTTCCCGAACGTGGATTTTATGACCATACACTCCCCTATTTGAAATTCACTTTAATTAGCCTATTATGTCTATCATCTGCGTGTAATTGGGTGCTTCTACAGAATATTTACAACTCATTTCGAATTTAATTACTAAGAAACTTAAAAAGTACCATGACAGCGTTTCATATATTTTCCTTGTTTTTGCTTTCGAGACACAAGAGGACATACTTATTGGATTGATACATCAAATACATAAGTTGACGAAAAAAAGATGTCATGCAAGCAACACTGATCATGAACAATAACAATGCTTTCTGGTTTTTACTGATGGTTTAGTTAGTGATTTAAGCTATGAAGATTACAAATGGATAGAAAAGGAAGCTAAAAACTGTTCAAAACGTTTCTGTACACATTTTTGGAATATTCGCGAAATCAATGCTTATGAAACGGCAATGATAATGCAATTTTGTATACTCTGTGATGAGAATTAGTTACACATGATACTAAATTAAACAACTATTATTAGTATCATCAGTATTCTATAGAATCTGAAAGAATAAGCAACATTAAATATCAGATAGTTTTGTCGATTTGAAAGCACTAGTAAGTACCAAATACCTAAGTACTTCTCGTATATGATGAACAAGCACTATATATATATATATATATATATATATATATATATACAAAGGAAATTTCTTCATAAAATTCCGGTTACGAATAGTTCATATAATGATGAATATGTTTAATTATAAAGCTTACCATTTGACAGTGAAGTACTGTTATTTTTCGATTGAATACTAATTGCATTGCTGACTGTATTAGTTTCACCATTATTACTATTATTGTTAATTGAAAACAATGGTGAAACAGAATGACTATTACCATCTTTACATTGAATTGATTCAGATTTAGTATTTATAGATTGATGATGAAGATGAATTGGACTAGCAGTCATATTTGTTATTAATGTCTTCCGAGAATCGACAATATCATTAATATTTGTACAATGGTAATTAGAATGATGATCGGAATAGTTGGTGTTGCCGCTATCATAATTGCATGAACTAAAAGAACGTAAATAAGGAAGGTTTATATGCAATATAAAGAGTATACTATGTTTTTAAAAAAATCAATGAAACACTATTTCACACTTGAAAAATAAAAGTTCTTATTACTTCTTGTTCAGTAATAATTATCTTCACTATGACGTACAGAATAATTTGTTTGAATTAGTCCACATAGAATGTTTGATTGTCCATTATGAAATTATTATTGAAATGTTCAGTAAACAAAATTCTATAGAAAAATTTGATTAAAGTGTATCCTCAATTTGTAACGGTTTATAGCAGGACAAATAAAAAAAGGTCGAATAGTAACAAACTCAACTGTTTCAAAACTAAAACTTCAACTAGACAATATTACTAATTAAAATTTCAGTGTAAGGTTGTGGAGATTGTTGAGTTTTTTAAATTAATATTAAGAACCAATAAATGTTAGGCCACAACTGAAAACTTGGAAGCACTGGACAGCCGTCTCGTCCTAGTATGCGACTACTCAACAGTGCACATCCACGATCTTACATACGGAACTCCAACTTAGGACCTTCAGTCTCACGCGCGAACTCTTCACCTCTAGACCACTGAGCCAGCTGGTATCCAACGGTGTTAATGTCTAACTTGAACCAATCCATGATATTGCATGGCCGTCCACCATTGTCTTGAGTGAGTAGCTGCCTCATACCTGACACGGTTGAACTCCACTTGTCATGGCTTATCACTAGAACTGCAAGAATCAACTATCGGAGTTATTCACTAGTGAAATTATTCATGTATTAAATTTAGTGTGGTTTCTGTTCATTTGACTTTTAAATTAATCGACTGTAATTTTTGCTCCGTATAACATGAATTTGTATTAATTAATCCATTGTGATTTTTTATTTATTAAACTTTTGTTCAATATAGTAATCAACTTTATTGTCTGTCTGTAATCATTTGTTTAAATGACAGTTGTTCGGTTTGATAATTTCTGTAATTAATAATCCCTGGATTTAATTATTACATAACTGAATAAACTGGATCATGAAGACGTCAAAATCTGAGAGAAGTATGGAATACAGTGGACAGCTATGATGCAGCTGGACGATCCAGACTTCGCAGACAATCTGGCTCTTCTATCACACATGCAACAACAAATGCAGAAGAGGACCAGTTTAGCAACAGCCTCAGCAGCAGTAGGTCTCAATATAAACAAAGGGAAAAGCAAGACTCCCATACAACACAACATACACTAATCAAATCACAGTTGACGGAAAAGCTTTGGAGGACGTAAAACGTTTTACAAACCTAGGCAACATCATTGATGAACACGGTGGTTCTGGTGCAGATGTGAGTGCGCGAATCGGCAAAGCTACAATTAAAGAACATCTGGAACTCAAAACAATTGTTAACCAACGCCAAAGTCAGAATTTTCAATACAAATGTGAAAATAGTTCTACTGTATGGGGCGGAAACATTGAGAACTACGAAAGCCATCATTCAGAAGTTACAGATGTTTGTTAACAGTTGTCTACGCAAGATACTTCGAATCCGTAGGCCAGACACTATTAGCAACATTCTACTGTGGGAGAGAACAAACCAGATTTCAGTGGAGGAGGAAATCAGGAAGAAGCGCTGGAAGTGGATTGGATATACATTGAGAAAATCACCCAACTGAATCTTAAGGTTAAGCCCTTGGAATCCTCAAGGTCAAAGGAAGAGAGGAAGACCAAAGAACACATTACGCCGAGAAACGAAAATAGATAAGAGAAGAGTGAGCGAAAGTTGGACAGAACTAGAAAGAAAGGCCAAAGACAGAGTAGGTTGGAGGTTGGTCGGCGGCCTATGCTTCATTGGGAGTAAGAGAAGTAAGTAAGTAATTTGATTCTTCTACCGCTTCTAGTAAGTAAATCTTCCTTTCAATATTGGAACTTTGGAGTAGTCTAAAGGCCAAGAGAGAAAGTTTCCGTATCGTAGCTCGAGGTGTGATAGGAATTATCGCTAATATCTTAAAGAATAACAATTAAACAGTCCTTCACAGTTCAACAGATGTAATGTAACTTCTGAGTTGCCGATGAGAGATACTTCAAAAACAAATAATGTTATTTAGATGATGTATGTAGATAGTTTTCATGATAACCTTAATTCAGCGAAAGAATTTTTTTGAAAACTGGTCAACTATCTTGTTTCAGTATAAAACTCCTCCGTAGGTCCATGGGGTAATATTAAGCTATCAAAACCCGATTCCAACCAAATAACCCAAATGAATAACAGTCACCACAAGACTTTAAGGTTCTAAGTTCCTGTCCTGACGGGATAATGAGCGTGTACTTTTGGAAAGTCTCGTACTCGAACTAAAACAGTTATCTTCAACGCTTGCTGGTTCTAAATGATTATCTGGATAAATTCAATTCGGAATATAAAATATCTTCAAATCTATATTTGCATATAGATTTCCAGAAAATTTCTCTTTGAAAAGAATCACTTTCAAATAATGAAAAAAAAATCAATCAAATGGACGACAGTAAACAAATTTCTAGCTCTAGTTAGATTTGTTTAGAAATAATGTAAAAACAGAAAACAGTCACACTAAATGATAAAAACCTGATTAGAGAAGAATAAATAATTAAATACTTAAACTTAAAAATAGAATAAAATCAATTGAAATACGTTAGTTTACGAAATTCTTTACTTCTTACAACAAAGAAAGCAGTAAAACAACAATGTCAGTCAATAATAAAAAGCGTTTGGAACAATGAATTGATAATCTTGAATATGATTGATTATGTTACAGATATACAACGTACACTACCTACACATAAGCATACACACCCAAATACATTTGAATGTTTTGTTTCCTACATATTATCATTTACATGTTGATGCTCTGATTCATTGTTACTTTATTCCTCTCACTTTTATTCGAAACACAACAATTCACCTGGTTACTACTCTTAAAGCTTAACACTTCGTATTTTACTTTTTGATTTTCTATAGTTATAGAATATTTTAACTAGTTTACAAGTGATCTAGAGCGGAATAAAGTTTTATCAATTAATCCACTTTGGGATTTGACCATCAAGAATAATCTGTTTAGTTGTGCGATTTCTTCTCCATAGTTATTACTCTGAACCAACTTAGACTAGTGTAGTAACATTTGGAGAATTTAACAAAAAGAAGCTAGTAAAACCGAAAACTAATAATATATCATTTTAATCACATTTGTGCTGCATTAGTGCATTAGTACCGTATTATTGGTGATCTTTAAAAGAAATGATTTCTGAAATTCAGTACAGATAAGTACCAACACATTACAGTTGAGTTCTGAGACATCTCTACCTGAGCAAGACTTTTAGATGGATCTATATACAGTCGGAAATTAATCAATACTATCTAAATATACATATTTTACAAATAACCAATACACAACCATCAACATCTAATAATAGCTAACGTTAAACATTATTTGCATAAAAGAATCGATTGATTTTCTATATATTAAAATATTACTGATAATTTTATTCGTAATTTGATACTATCTAAACAATCAGTGAGATTTACATTGAACAAGACAAATAAATTTGATTAAATTTAACATTTTGAGACCGTACACATACTTATAACATTTGTTCAACACGAAATAATAAACAGTACTATTTCAATAGGTAATATCAACTATATAGGATGCTGATTTTAATTCATATAGTATATAGTTATAAAGAGTTACTACCACAATCAGATGTCAAGGGATCATCAAATAACATCAATTCATGTAAAATAAACATGAAATCGGTAATTGTATACAATGAGAATAGCTAAAGTAAAATCACGATGGCTGGGTGGGGGTGGAGTGGCGAAAATTGACAAAACCCATGAGAATTAAGATCAAAGTATCACTCAGAAATGCTACATAATAAATTGACTAGTGACTGGATATTTACTACCACACTATAATAAAACAAGACAAAATCAATTAGAAATAAGAATTAAGTAGCATTGACCTTAGTTACTCAATTAATCTAGTTACTGGTTAATGTAATGATCTTCTTGAAAGTAAAAGCTTTCCTTAAATTATTTAATATAATGATCAGAACGGGTTTTGTGGAGATTTAGTATTTTTCATAGTAAAAAGCATGAGTCAATTGAAGCTAGACCACCATGGAAAACCTGGAAACACTGGACGGTCGTTTCGTCCTATTATGGGACTCCTCAGCGGTGCGCATCCACGAACCCGCTCTCGCGAGATTCGAACCCAGGACCTACCAGTCTCGAGCCGAAGCCCTTAACCGATAGACCACTGAGCTGGCATCCAATGGTGTTAATGTCTAACTACAACTGATCCACGAAGTTGAGCAACCATTCGTGGATCAGTTGAAGTTAGACATTAACACCATTGGATGCCAGCTCAGCGGTCTATCGGTTAAGGGCTTCGGCTCGAGACTGGTAGGTCCTGGGTTCGAATCTCGCGAGAGCGGGTTCGTGGATGCGCACTGCTGAGGAGTCCCATAATAGGACGAAACGACCGTCCAGTGTTTCCAGGTTTTCCATGGTGGTCTAGCTTCAATTGACTCGTGCTTTCAACTAATATAATGAGTAAAATAGTAAAAAGAAATAATCTAGAAACTTATAATCAAAGAGAGAAAACAACTAATTTCTATTGATTCTGTGTACACAGCATACTTTACTGAATATCGGTTATGAGGACTCAACAGTTGAGTTGTTGTTATAATGTTGCTTTCTTTTCTGTATATAAACAATTTCCTTTCCTTCTTGTATAAGAATAATATGCGGTTTTACATAAACAAATATATTAGGGATTTCCATCGTGAAACTCGGAGCAATACAAATATAAGCGAACAATATTGTTCTCATTTAGATCGTCCATCAGGCTGTATTCTAATATACATAAAAAGAGTTAAAAATTTTATTATTTCATTACTCTTATCAGTACTTGTGTACCTGTCTTCTTACTATCAATTTGTACTTTTTGCCTACTACATGTCATTATGCAATCTATTCCATAGTGATCA